TGAGCACCAATACAGTAACAATGAGACCCACCAAATGTATTAGAGACATAGAGAGATGCAACTGGAGACGAGATTTGATTGCTGCATGGCTTGACACAGTCCACATTCGCTTTGCAAGTGCTTTCGGCAAAAACACAATCACTGCTCTGTCCATCTATGGTTTTCAACACCCAAAAACCAAAAAAAAAAAAAAAAATTGTAACAACTCATTAGAAAACCTAAAATGTTTGTAACTAAAAATTTCGTTTTATTTTTGATGTATTACATGTAAATTCAAGCCAAGGGCTTAATGTGTAAATGAGTTAGCACTATTTTGTTGTAACCAAGTGTTAACTTGGAAAGCTGTAAGCCCGTAGGGCATTTTGCTTTTGTTGTTAACATGTAATACTTTTGTAATAAAACTCTGATGAATAGAAGAATGTGGTTATTTCTTATGTCAATGAATGTCTTATTTGATGGGTTTAATGTTTTTTTTTTTTTTTTGGGGCGTCACACATTAAATGTCATGCTAGCTAAGTTATTCCTAACCCAAATATTTCCATCATCACCATTGTAAGCCAACTCATCTAGTTGTTGTTGACCAATTCCATCCACTTCAATATCTGTTATGCTTTCATTCTCAGCGGATAATGGTTAACACATTTCCCTAGGTTTCAATCTAAGCACAATATTCCATTCCTCTTGAACTAGATCTTGCACATAAAACACTTGTTAGGCATGAGATGCTACACTTCTGGGTTCATTGGAAGCATGTTCTGTTGTGTATAATAACTGCTTGAAATTGATAAGTGTAAAACCAAATTCATCTCCCTCTACTAGTCTATTGTTCTTATTAACCCAATCACAATTGAATAACACATATATACAATTATGTGTATAATACAATTCAATAATAATAGTGACCTTTTCGTAGTATGCAACATCACTTTCCTGAGGATTTGTATCTGTAGCACTTGCATAACTACTAGTTTGTGCTTTTAGCATAACACCACTGTTTTGTGTTTTCTTTCTTACACTACAACAAAATTCACATTTGGCGACTAAATTTTTAGTCCCCAAAAGTACAATTTTTAGTCGCCAAATACTTTGCCCGACTAAATATTTTGGTCGCTAGACTGGTCGCGGAAAACTTGTCAGGGAAGGTATTGGCGACTAAATATTTTTTAGTCGCCAAAAGTCCTATAAATGGCGACTAATATTTTTAGCCGCCAAAAATAAAATTTTAGTCACCAAAAATCTTATTTTCCGCTACTAAAACTTTGGTTGCCAAAACTTGAAGTATCTATGGCGATCAAAGTTTTAGTCGCCAAAGGGTTTTTTCATCTTTTTTTTTATTTTTATTTTTTTCATTTTATTTTTTTTTAGGGTATGGAGAAATGGAATAAATGTTGAATCATTGATGAATATGGGACCTTAAGGGTTGTAATGTTAATTATGGAAAATGCCCTAATTACATTGTTTGATTAATTCGGTTAATTAATCGTGAGAAATGAGGTTATGAAATAGGAATGTTGAGATTGGGAATGTATGGGGTTAAAGGGTGTAGTTGAATTATTTGTCACCCATCGAAATGAAATGTTGATTGAATATCTATTTGTGCATTTATTTTCTGTTTAGAAATAACTGCTTGGGGCTATCGGTGGAGGATAGTCGTGATTGTTGTAGACAATGCATGATGATTAGGCAAACGAAAACTAATCAATGGAATGTGTCATGGAATTTGATGGTTGATAGAATACATTAACTGTATGTATTGAATGATGGTATATGGAACCAATGTGTGTGTATACGTTATGTGTAGAGGAGGAGATGGGGGATATACTCCGCGGTTTAGGGGAAGATGGAGGATGTACCTCTAAACCAGATAGTGTTGGGAGAAAATAGGGGATGAACTCCGTAGATACAGCTCATATGCTTGTCTAGAGAAATGAAGATAGAGCTCATATGCTTATCTTTGGGAAGTGTAGATACAGCTCATATGCTTGTCTAGAGAAGTGAAGATAGGGCTAATATGCTTATTTTTGTGAAATGTGGATGTAGCTCATATGCTTATCTGTGAATGAGGGATATAGTTCTTATACATATCTGTTGCGATGATGATAGAGCTAATATGCTTATCTGTTGAAAAAGGGAAAATGAAAAGTAACCTGGACTCATAAGTCGTATGACATAAAATGTGATTTATGTGGATGTATCAGGGTTGGCCATCTATCAATTGCTAATCTTTTAGTCATTGTTCATGGTTGGTTTAGTGTATTTCTACTGGGCTGTGGCTCACCCTATATGGGAATATCATTTTCAGGTACAGGTAGCATGCCACCTCCAAGGTCATAGCTTGGGAGGCTAGAGGCGGGCAGATTTTTTGTTGTTTAAGTTCCTTTTTTGATGCATTACATGTATATTCGAGCCGAGGGCTTAATGTGTAGAGGAGTTAGCACTCTTTTGTTGTAACTAAGTGTTAACTTGGAAAGCTGTAAGCCCGTAGGACATTTTACTTTTGTTGTTAACATGTAATACTTTTGTAATGAAATTGTAACGAAACTCTGATTAATAGAAGAATGTGGATCTTTTTTGTATGTCAAAGAATGTCTTAATTGATGGTTTAATGTTATTATTTTGAGGGTGTTACAATTGAACTCTAGAGGCTATGTTTGGAATGTTGGTTTGAAGCTATTTTAGTCATAAAAAGATAACATAGGATAAAAAATCAATAAGACAATGTCATATCCAAATTATAATAATTTTATTCGTTCTCTCACAAAAGTTAAAAAGGCCAAAAAACTCATCATAAATAAGGCTTTTTAGTCCCAAGCTAAAATAACTAAAATATCAAAAAGTCAACTCACATCTCAAACGAAGGCAAAGTTTCAATGAAATTTCAATTTAGTTTTTCTTTTTTTTTTTTTAAATTAAAATATAATTAAAAGTGTGATTTAAACTATGAAATTAAAAATATGAGAATCAAAGTAAAATCTCACTCCAATCAAAAGATTAAAGCTATAAATGTCTTTTTTTTTTTTCTTCTTTCATATATATATATACATTAATTTTGCATATGCAGACTGCTCATATGAAAGAGGAGTAATGCTATTTAAATAAAAACGGGACTTTTTTTCTTTAGTTATGATTATATTTCTTATTTAGTTATGGCTTTATTTCAGTTATAGCTAATGAGATCTTTAATTATGCCTCATGTATTGTTTGATTATATATATATATATATATATTTAAGTTATGACTCAGAAAGTATAAAATTATATAATCTTTTTCTTTCACTTTAAAATAAAATATCATTAAAAATATATTAAATTACAATAATAATATTACCAAATCATTCTTGTAGGGTTTTTTTTATTATTATATTATTTTATTTTATTTTTTTCATAAAATATATATCAAAGTCTTAGACAAAATAGATATCAATGTCTTAGAAGCCACGGAAAGGAACAATTAAAAAAACAAAACAAAACAAAAAGAAGCACGATTACATGTAAGAGGGTTTTATGATAAGGGTGGTGATGAAAAGCTCTAATAAGAGCATTAATAACGTGGCAACCTTCAAAAAAAAAAAAAAAAAAAAAAAAAAAAAAAAAAAAAAAAAAAAAGTAAAAACATCAAATCACACAATGGGACCCACAGGTTAGAGTTCTTTTAGAGCTCACAATTTAGAGGTCTGAAGTATTTTTCTTATGATAAATATTAATAATTAAAATTATAAATTTTGTTAATAAATTATACGTTGCTCCTTTATTTAGTCACTTTTTTACTTTTAACAATGATAGAGACCACTAATTTTGGAGTTCTAAAAAGACCACTAATGACCTGATACTTAATAAAAAAAGAAAAAAAATATAACACCAAGGCCAAAACATCAAATCATTCATGGTGGGACTCACTGTCACATCATTAGTGATAGCACTAATTAGTGCTCTCACTAATTTTCCTTTTACTTTAGTCTTTAAAATTTATTTTTTCTTACTTTAATCTTTTATGTTTCAAGTTTTTCTCACTTTATTTTTAAAGTTAATTTTTGTTAAAAATTAAACAAAAAATGATATATTGACAGTCTCGTAGCATAAAAATATTTTATTATATATGACTCACACCTCCAACATAAAATTAAATTCTAATATAATAATATACTTTTTATGTTAAGTGACAGTTATTGTGATATTTTATATTTAAATTTCAACAGAAGATACTTTTAGAAAAAAACTGAGAAAAACTTGAAATATGGAAGGTGAGAAAAAAAAACAAATTTTAAGGGTTATAGTGAAAAAAAGATTAAACATAAAAGAGACAAAGTGTAATTTATCCTAATTTTTTTTATTTTATAATAATTTTTGAAAATACCCTCTAAATAGAAAAAGAAAAAATCACTCGACAGCTGATTTTCGATGGGGTATGGCTTTTGTCCAGTCTGTGGATTGGACTGGACCGTACTGTTGGGCCTGTGGCGGCCACCACGGGTCTTTTTTGATAATCTGAACCGTTCAATGTGTAGAAATCGTCGAGTACTATATGCCTATAAAAAATCACGTTGATCGGATATCGATAGCTATGTGATCAAAACAGTTTTTTGTCAACCGTTAATTTATTCACCGTCTAATTTTTTTAATACGAAACTGATTTGATCATATAGCTATCGATATCCGATCAACTTGATTTTTTATAGGCATATAGTACTCGACGATTTCTACACATTGACGATTCAGATTATTAAAACGGGACCTTTGGTGGGCCCCCACGGGCCCAACAGCACGGTCCAGTCCGATCCCAGACTGGACAGAAGCCATATATAGCTATCGATATCCGATCAGCATGATTTTTTACAGGCATATAATACTCGACGAGTTCTACACATTGAACGATTCAGATTATCAAAACAGGACCCGTGGTGGACCCCCACAGACCCAACAACACGGTCCAGTCCAGAAGCCGTACCCTTTTCGATATAAACCATGATTTATAGGGTTTATTCTATACTGTTATATATAAAGTCTAATACTTAATAGGGGTCGATAGAAGAATCTCTTTGACTCAATTTACAGAGAGAGAGAGAGAAGAGAGAGATGACGATTGGGATCATGGAGGTTCTGCTGGTGGGTGCTCGAGGTCTCAAGAACAATGAATTCTTCGGTATGTAATATGCATATCTATCTATGTATATATATATATATAAATCTAAGCATTGACCATTGTGGTTGCTGGGTTTTCTTCTGTTGATTTAATTTCTTCTTATCATCTTGTCCTGTTCCATTGGTTGAAATACATAGATGTATATCTAATTATAGCACACACATATCATACCATTTATGTGGCCTTTTATTTTTAACGTAATAAAATAATAAAGAAAAATAAATTAATAAGATCCAACACAAAGTTCTTGAATTTCTAAGCTCTGTTTTTTGTTTTTACTAAACATGAAGTTTGGGGAAATGGAATTAGGCACAAAATCAACCCAAAAAAATAAAATAAAATATAGTCCTTTTGTTTTGATTCTAGATTCATTTTGGCAAATCCTAACAAGTGTTCTTTAGATATTATTTAATGTTGGAAAATGTGTAGAAAGTGTTTTGAAAATATGTGTAATGTTAAAAGCGGTATTGATTTCAATAAAATTGTATTAACTTTAGTAAAGAGCAAATTACAATAAACCCCTTAAACTATGACTCGTTTGCACTTTGCCTTCTAAAATTTAAAATTCAACAGTTAACTCCCTCAAGATATCATCTTATTACAATTAACCATTTTTGTTAGATTTGTGTTAAAAATTTAGAGAAAATCAAATCATGTGCAAAGAATATGGCATAGTTATTGAATTTTTAGGACAATAATAACACTTATTGCTTTAGAATAATAATACTCTTATCTAATGATTTCAATTACACTTCGTCTCCCTTATCTCTGTGACAAAGTGTAAATAATATCACAAAATAAGGATATAATTATACTAAAAATTCAATAAATGTGTTATGTGTTGTATACATAATTTGATTTTTTTGGTAAATCCTTACTAGAATCTTAACAAAAAGGGTTAATTGTAATAAGATAATACTTTGAGGAGTTAATTATTTAGTTTTGAAGTTCAATGGAATAATGGAAAAATTCTATTTCCACAAGTCTGTTCGTCTCTTTGTACACACTTAATGAAAAAAATTTTTTATGATAATTTTACTATTAACCAAAATGACCATAATGGATATTAATACACACACTACAAATTAAATCCAAACTTTCTCTTTGTACATGTTTTAAAACCAATAATTCTCGATGCACATATTTTGAAAAAATAATTAAAAAAATCCCTAGTTCCTTCATTATTTCTTACTTTCTCTATTGTATTCCATTGCTTGCTACACTTCATTGGTACACTCTATCCATTATCCATTCTTGCATAAACTACTCTGAAATCAAGTATTAAAAAACTGTAAAACCTTCGAAGCTACAAAACCCAATCAATTTAAAAAATTCAAAAAGCAAGTATAAAAAATTTATAAATAATTCGGAAGTACATAATAAAAAATGTACAACAATTTCAAAAGTAAACAATCGAGAAAACCTATTTTATTCGAAAAACTAATATCAAAGAGCAAAACTTATTTTAATTGGAAAAAAATCGACTAATTATTCGAACATGAGACTTGTCTTACAAAATGGGAGGGAGATACAAAATGGGTAAAACCAAAATGAGAGATAATTACAAAATGGGAAAGAGATGCACACTACTTATACCTTCAACAATGCAATGGAGTTCAATGTAGGCTTTCAATGGAGTTGTATTTTGCTGGGAGGGTCTTCAATGGAGCTGTGGTTTGCTATTGTGGGTGGGTGCGTGAAAAGTTGAGTCTCTGAAGGGGTTGAAGCTGTGAAAAACCTATTTAGGTAGCGTGTATACAAGATGTGAGTTAGTATTATAATTGGAATATATGGTGTGTGGAATGAGAATAATAACATATAACTAAATTCATAAGCGTGTAAACTGAGATATGATGTGCACAGAAATAAAAGGGTGTGTGGAAATAGAATTTCCTGACAAAATACAAACAAGTCATAGTTTAAGGGGTTTACTGCCATTTACTTTTTAGTAAAATGTGTTTTGTGTTCTTCAATTTTTTTTTGTTACTTATACTCTAGGGCATTAACATGATCCATTCAATTTCTGCAAAACTTTTCTCTCTGCCTCTTTTTTTCTTAGTGTCATTTTTTTTTTTTTTTTTATATTTGTGAGGAAAATAGAAGAAATAGCATTTCATATAGGATTAATCAAATCATAGCATTTTAATAATATAAAATTTTAAATTTTAATTTTAGCCTTGTTATTTTGAAAAATGGTTTTGCACATGTTGATGAATTCCCATAGGACTGGGTCAAAGTCAAGTTAGGTGTTCCGTGTGAACACTGATTTAATTTAATTTAATTTTATTAATAATCTGTTTATTTTATAATACGGTAGGTGGTGGGATAGATCCGTATGTTTTGATTCAATACAAAAGCCAAGAGCACAAGAGCAGCGTGATCAGAGGTTAGCGTATATATATATATATATCTATACTATATATATAATCAAATGTCGTGATTTTGTCAAAAATCTATAAATATTTATTCTTAAAGTTCCATAATTTTAAAATTCTCTCTTTCCTACGTGTCAACTCTTTTTGATTGTCTTTCGTGTTTTTTATTTTCCTCTATTTTCTATTTGTTTGATTAATTAAAATGAAAATTAATTTCATGACTTATGGATAAAGATTTGAATTTCAAAATTCCTCCATATAGATAAACATTTAAAAATTGATAAATAATTTATAAAAATTAATTTCATGGTACACAGATAAAGATAAAAATTAAATACTTAATTTCATAACTTATAGATACTTTAAAATTTGGAAAATTTACCCATAAGTCCTAGTCCTGAAAAGTTGAACCATTTAGTCTTAAAAGTTTTCTTATGCTCCATTTAATCCTATTTGCACATCAATCTAATGTTTGAAGCATTAATCTGATGTTCGAAACATTAATCTGATGTTCGAAATCTAATGTTCGAAACATTAATCTAATGTTTGAAACATTGTAATGGGACCTTTCAGTCTATAAGAAAACTTTTAGGACTAAACAGTGTATAAGTTATTAATTTGGGATTTATTAGTGCATAAGCATATAAAAATTGATAAATAATTTATAAAAATTAATTTCATGGCCTGCTGATAAAAATAAAGGTTAAAAAATTGATTTAAAAAAAAAGTACTCATGTTTTTTACCCTTCATTTTGTACTTTAATTAATTTCATTATAAATAAACATATAAAAAAATCATAAATAATTTATGGAAATTTAGATAAAGATAAAAATTTTAAAAATTATTTGAAAAATAATAATTTCATGACTTATAGATAAATAAACATATAAGAATTGATAAATAATTTATAAAAATTAATTCCATGGTCTGCAGATAAAGATAAAAATTAACTAATTGATTTACCAAAAAAAAAATTAAAATAATAAAATTTAGATAAATATATGATTTGTTAATCTATATCTATAAAAAACATATCTATCTAAATCTTTATTTTGGTTTACTTATATTTTTTTTTCTCCTTTTATCACATATTATCTTTTTTTATTTTGAATTTTTTATCTTGTGAAATACTCTTATCTATAACTTCTTATCTCCTCTTAACCTACTCCTCATAATTTTTATTATTTGTTATTATCTACCAAGTGATAAAGATATATATAAAAAAAGAATGGTTGGCCATAAATAAGAAAAATATTAATAATTAAATAATGAAAGCCGTATAGGAGAAGGCAATACAAAAATCTCACAAAATTATTTTCCGTCACTATATTTATCCAAGATAATAATTTGATATTCTTTCTTTTAATTTTTAAAAATAGTTTACATTAGATCATTGCTATGTGTTTTTTCTTTTTCTTTCTTTTTATTTTTTTTTATAAGATTGTCATTTGTTATAGTATTTTTTCAATCCCATCTCTAAATTTTCTCTTTGAAATTTTTATTTTTTTAATAATAAAGTTTAGAACTAATTTCTTACCAAATTTGTTTTCTTGGTGCTTATTTTATTAAAAGATTGAGACAAGTAAAACTTTCATATGATATATGAAATTAATGAAATATAATACAAAGATGGTAGAGAAAAACTATATATTTGTTGATATCTCTCTTTTATTATTAGTTGATTTATTAGATTATATTATCAATTTAGAGCCATATGATTTAATTCAATGTCCATAACTTTAGTTATATTCGACCATTTTGTTGTTGAGTAACCTATATAATTTTTTTTTTTTGGGTATATAATGATTAAAGCTATCATTTGTTATATTTCTTCAAATACAATTCAAATAATTTGTCATCATTTTTTTTTTATAAATAAGATGGATTAAACTATTTTCTTATATAATTTTTATAATCCTACGAAATTCTTATCTTGAATTTTTTTTTTAAAATGTTGTAGAAACTATGCAAGTATTATTCAATTATAATTAAAAGTTGAGATTTATTCATAATTTGGTCCCACAATAATAATATAAATCATTGATTTAAAATAAGTAAATTTATGATAACTTATAAAATTTATTTCTTTTAATGCTTTGTTTTTGTTTTTGTTTTGTTTTGTTTTTTTTTTTTTTTTGCATGACACTATAGTCTGATACAAATTATTTATGTTATCAAGCGATTGTAATATTATTATCCTAACAATCTTTATAATTAATATTTTTTTATGTATATCAAATTTTTATTGTGAAATTTTGTAAATTAATTATTGTTAACATCAATCAAGATGGCCTAACATCATGACTTGCTGCTATTAAAATATAATTCAAGATTAGAATAATTTATATATCACACAAAATATAAATAGTTTATTTTTCCGTGCATCGCACGGGTTACCGCTAGTATATATATATATATATATGTATGTATAAGAGGCTCTTTCCAGAGAATGGCTAGTCTTTTTATTCCCATTTTGCCCTCCATTTTCTTTTTATCTTGCCATGTGCGCAATTGTCCTTTCATCATGATAAATCTCTATTTTGTTTTTTTTTTTATTATTTATTTTTATTAATTTTATCTTTTCGTTTTGAATAATTTACTAATGTTAGCCTATATGTTGAGTGAGTTTTTTCCTAATTACGCAAACATTCTTGGTCACTTATGCAACAGGTTTTTTTCATAATTACGTATGCATTCTTGATCAATTATGAAATAGATTTTTCCGTAATTATGTAAATATTCTTGGTCAATTATGAAACATAAATATTTGATTTTTTAACAAATTACAAATATACCCATAAAGTTTATTTAAAATATAAATTGATCTTATAATAATAGGAATTAAAACTATCGTTTGTTATAAATTTTAATTTAATACAATACTCAAGGAAAAGAAAAAAAAAAATTCTCCTATGTAATAATAAATTATCAAAATTGTTCATTGAAAAATATTTCTCATATCATTATAAATTGTTAATTAACTTAATAATTTATTTATTAACATAATGTAAGAATTGCTTTCCTACAAGTGCTTTGTCATTTTATTCCCATTTTGCCCTCCGTTTTCCTTTTATTTAACCATATGCACAGTTATCCTTTCATTTTAATAAATCTCTATTTCGCTTTTCTTTTCGATTTTGCTCTTTCATTTTAAATAATTTATTAATAGTGGCCTATATATGGAGTGAAATTTTTTTCGTAATTACACAAATATTCTTAGTCAATTATGCAACAGGTTTTTTCGTAATTAAGTAAATAGTCTTGGTCAATTATGAAACAGGTTTTTTCGTAATTACGCAAACATTCTTAGTCAATTATGAAACATAAATCTTTTATTTTTTAACAAATTAGAAATACACTCATAAAGTTTGTTAAAATATGAATCGGTCCTATAATAGTAGAAATTATAACAATTGTTTGTTACAAATTTTAATTTAACACAATACTCAAGGAAAAGGGCAAAAAAAAAAAAAAAATTATTCTCTTATGCAATAATAAATTATCAAAATTATTTAGTGGAAAATATTTCTCATATTATTAAAAGTTGTTAATTGACTTAATGATTTATTTATTAACAAAATGGTTAATTGAAAAATATTTTTCAAATCATTAAAAATTGTGAACTTACTTAATGATTTACTTATTAATCAAATTGATCGTTTGTTGTGCGAGTATGATTTATGTGTTAATAAAATTAGTCATTTGTTTATATATGTATTTTCTTCTGCTTCTTTATTAGTTCAGTGACTTATCTTAGTAATTTTTTTTAGATGAGAGAATTATTTTAGTATTTGTTTTATATTTATCTGTTGAAAAAAAAAACTACACATCATAATTTTTATTTATTTATAAATTCAGAAGAAATGTTAAAGACTCATAATTTTACCTAAAATGATATGGTAATAGAATTCGAGTCGACATCATTGGTTGTATAACAAATCAAAAAATCATACTTATCATACTACATAATTCTATCATATATCTAATGATTTATTCAATTCAATTTCATAGAATAATATTTTAATTTAATTTTTTTAATCAAAATGCAAAACTTAAATATAATGTAATAATAGACCGTGCCTTGCTAAAAAGTTAATAATATAAATTGTCACACTCTTACTATTTTTTTTTTGTGTACATTTTTCATTTAAAAAAAAAATTAGTGAAAAAGTCAATATAAATTATCACATTGCTCATACTATTTATTTTGTATATTTTTTTATAAAAAATTAAAAAGTCAACTAAAATAGTTAATTTCCAAACAAGGTCTAAGTTGATATTTTTTTTTAATTACAAAAAGACGTATAAAAAAAAATAATATGACCTAAATAAGTTAATATAAATAACTTATTAGTCTTACCCAACCAAGCCAATTTAAATTTTTATTTATATTTCATGTTTTGTTGATTTTGATGAGGTGTATTAATTTATGGTACATTCATTTTTATGCTTACATAGTTTTATTGGGAAAATATCAATTAAGGCCTCGTTTGGGAACAGGCTAATTTAGTAATTTTTTGGCTAATTGGCTAAAAAGGTAGGTAAAAACAAATTGTATGTTTAGGATGACTTTTTGACTAATTACGAAAAGCTGTGCAAAAAGTAGAAAGAATCCGTAATTGTTGACTTTTTGGTATGACTAATTGGCTAGTTGGCTAATTTAGTAACTTTTTGGCTAATTGACTAAAAAGGTAGCATCCCAAACGAGGCCTAAGTGTAAATTTATAAAAATATTTTCAGCTTAATGATAAACTTTACATGTATTAAGTAGATAGCTCCGTTTAGTTTAAATAATTCCACTCTTATATTTGAATGTTATGTTTGATTTAAATTTTTAAAAATTGATTCTAAAGTCACTTTTGAATATACATTTCAATGTATGTTTGGCATAGTAGAGTTTTTGAATTTGCGGATTGGGTTTACTTGGTTGTCCGCTTGGACATCTCTTCGGACGTCCGGCCGGTTGACCGAAATAATAATTTTTTTTTTTTTTTTTAATGGCAACCTGTTATTTGAAAATAAAAAATTTATATTTGTTTTTGATATTTTTTAAATATAGAATTTTTTTAGACCGTTTTTAAACAAAACAATTTAAATTTTTTTTTAATCAAATATACAATCAAAAGTAATTTTAAAGCACTAGCTGAATATTTTTTTAACAAAAAATAATATTTTTTAAAATATTTTAAATAAAAAATTATTTTCAGATTTTTTAAAAAATTTTAAAGAAAAAAATTATTTTTTCTATAATTATTTTTTTGAATTAAATTTTAAAAAAAGTTTAGTTATGAGTTTTAAATAAAATTTTCAATAGAATTTTGAGTTTTGTGTTTGGTTATGAGTATAAGTTTTTTATTTAAGTTTTAAAAACTCATAATCAAATAATTTTTATCATTTCAAAAATTTAAAATTCAATTCAAAATTCTTTTCAAAATTCATAATTAAATAAATTTTTTCTTTCCAAATCATAATTTAATAACACTTAAATACAAAATACAGGCTTGGTTTGGGAAGTAGGTTGGCTTTTTGGCTTTTTGACTTTTTTGGCTATTTTAGCCTGGGCTAAAAAGCTTGGTTTGGGAAGGACTTTTTGGCTTTTTGGCTTTTTTGACTTTTTTTGTGAGAGAAGAATGTAATGATTATAGGTTGGATGTGATGTTTTGTTTGTTATGGCTAAAATAGCCTATTTTGTTTTTTGTGACTAAAATAGCCAAAAAAACCTGAAAATCAACTTGCCAAACAGAGGCACAATATCATTCTTAAATCATGATTTAACCAAACGTCATCATAATTTTTTTTTCCCCTTGCGTAGTTAATTTTTGAAAGTACAAGTGCAGTGTGATTCCATATAAAATCGATTCATATAACTTGACAAAACACATCAACGATGACTGGTCAATGCATAGTCACCTTTGGTGCAGTGCTTTTGCAGTCTCTGATGAGATTTTTTATAGGGAATATTCTGTATATAATTTAAAAAATAATTATAAATAAAAGATAAATTTTATTAATATTAATAAGGATAAATTACAAATATATCCATCGAAATTTACTTAAAATATAAATTATTTTTTGTGATTTAGAAAATTACAAATATTTTCTTATCAGAATTTTTTATTTAATAGAATTAATTGAAAAAGTAAAATTTCTAACTGTTCATCTATACAATAATAAAACTATCTGAATTATTAATTGAAATAAAATTTTAATATTATTAAAAATTATTAATTAACTTGATAATTTATTAATAAAAGAAACTATTTGTTATGAAATTATAAAATTTGTTCATCACAAGGAGTAATTTATAATTTAAGTAAATTTCAAGAGGTATGTTTATAATTTACCGTATTAATAATTAAAATTTTAATTTTCTTTTTAACAATTTGTAATATTTTTGTGAAAATACAACTATAAGGTAATTTCTCTTTTTTTTTTCTTTTGGTGGTAGCACCTTCCTAAGTGGTGTAAAATTGACCAATGAAGCGTTTGTTTATTAAACATTTGGCATATATAAGTCTATCTTTTTATATTTTTTGGGTCACATTAATTAATATTTTTTTTTTATAAATTTTTTTATAAAAAGTTGAAAAGTAAATTTATTTAGGACATTTCAAACCATCCTTAGGGTCGTTTGGCATTGGCTAATATAACTATTTTTTTTAGCTTAGGACTTTTTTAGTCTCGTTTGGTTTTTGTTTTGAGATTTTTTTGACTTTTATGAGAGAAAAAGTGTAATGATTATAGGTAAAAATGATATTTTCTCTTATTAGCTTATAAAGTTTATTTTGTCTTTTTGTGTTTTTTTAGTTCCAAAATATTAGCCAACGAGCACTTAATATTTGAATTCGAATCTTATTATTAGAGCATCCGTATCAGTTTCAACAAATTTTGAGTCAAATTATAACTCAAAATTCACTTTTGTATTTTAATTAGCATTTTTTTTTTGTGTACACACTCCATCAAACTCTCTATTTTAAAGTTCTATTTTATTAAAATATTAATTTTTATTCTTTAACTGTTGAATGCTTATTCTTAATTCAGCAAATTTTTACTCTTATCATTGCTAAATGCTACTCCCATGGCTTCATAACAAAACAATCAAACGAGAGTGCTAGCTGAATCAATAGGGATATTTCTCTATGACAAGGGAAAATAAAAGAAACATAAAAAAATAAAAAATAAATAAAAATAATTAACCCACAAACCATCCTTAACATCATATTAAGGTTTTTTTTTTTTCAATCTAAATAATAAAATCCAATAAAGCATACAAAAACACTTGAGGATTCGCAGAAAACAATTTTCGGGAGATAGAAAATTCTCTATTTAAAAAAGAAGAAGAAGAAGAAAAAAGAAAGAATAAATAGGGATATTCCTGTATAAAAATAAAAACCCATCAACTATAAATTACTAAAAATCAAATTGAGCATAAACCCCCAAACTGTTCTTAACATCGGCCTACAGCCCGGTTACATAGCAAAGAGAAACACTAATAAAAAAGTAAAAAAAGAAAAAAAAAAAAAGGACAAAAACACTTGGAGATCAATAAAGAACTGTTTTACAGAGGTAGAATTTCACAAAAATAAATAAATAAAACCCATCCCTGAAATGGAAACCCTTTAAAGCAATGTAGACCCAGATAAAAAAACAACATAAAAGGCAAAGATATAACTATAAAACACTGTAAAATCAACAACACATGTAGGGCTTTTATCCAAGGCTCAAAGCCCCGTCTTCTCAACAAACACTGTAAAATCTATGCATATATATACATGTATGTATGTATATATACTCCTACTACTGCTCCCATGGCTTCATGGTTAGAGCACTCACTGCCCAACCCCCTTAATCCCAGAAGAGAAGCAAGTAACAAGCAAACAATAGCAACACAATCACACAGGGAGGTCGATTGGGTAGTCGACCGGCCGGACGACCGATCAATCCAATTTTAGGCATTTTACAAGGCATTCGTGGGACATTTGGAGGATATCTGGGTGGACAACTGGCCATGGCTTTTTGGCCCAGCTTTGCTCTAGAAAATATAATAAAAAATAGATTGTCGTATGAGCAGTATTGTTGCGTTCACAAAATAAATAAAAGCTATACAGAAGCTGATGGAGCTGATATTTACATTTTTTTGCTCTCTACAATAGCTTCAAAGTCATTGTAGAAAGGTTGATGTGGAGGAATTGAAAAATAGTACAAATCTAGAAATCTGCAACCCAAAAGTTAATAATATATAATTTTGTACAATCTATTTTAAGTTAAAATTTAGATCTCGTTTAGAAATATGTTATATTAATAATTTTTTAATTTTTTAAAAAATATATATAATAAAAATAAAAAGAGATGTGATAATTTATAATGATTTTTTAACTAAAATACTTAGGATAAATTATAAATACACTCCTGAGATTTGATTAAAATATAAATGGCCCATGTAGTTTTGAAAATTACATTCCATCCATTGAGGTTTATAATTTCATAACAAATCATCTATTTTATTAATAAATCATCAAGTCAATTAACAGTTTTTAATGATATTAGAAATACATTTCAATTAATAATTTAAATAATTTTATTATTGTATAAGAGAACAATTATGAATTTTATTTTTTTAGTTAATTCTGTTAAATAAAAAATATTAATAAGGAGATATTTATAATTTTTTAAACCACAAGAGGTAATTTATATTTTAAATAAAGGGCAATGTTAGAAACACTAAAAGTGGTGCTCTAAAATAACCACTAATGGTGTGACACCCACTTTTTCAAAAAAAAAAAAAAAATAGACAGAACAACATTGTAGAAGTGGGTGGGACTCACTGCCATATCATTAGTGATGACACTAATTAATACTCTCACTTATTTTTTTTAAATAAATATCAAATAATGTATTTATAATTTATCCAAATCCTTAATTTCCAAACGAAGCTTTAATAATTATCTATAAACAAAAGAGCTTTTCTCCCAAGGATGGGTACTCTTTTGGACTTATTACAGACTGGGGCAAGTTTTTTTTTTTTTTTTTTTTTTTTAAATACCAATTAATTAGTACTTTTTAAAAATAAATACTTATATAATTTATCATATAAAATGGACAAAGTAGGGGTTTTATGGTAATTTCGCAGGCTATAAATAGTACTTTGCTAGTTCAGCTCAGAAACTAATATCTAAGCCTGGAAGGTTGATTATTTTAATAGGTTATTCAGTTTTTAGCTATTTTAATAGGTTAAAGTATTTATATTAGTAAGAGAATAAATTTTTTTTATAATAGGATGTGATGTTTATGAGAGAAAAAATAAAATAATTATAAATTTAATGTGACATTTTATCTTATTAACTATTTTAATTTATTTTATTTTTTTTTTGAATTTTAACAAAAAAAAAAAAAAAAAAAACCTAATTTTTAGTGTCCCAAACCCCCCTTATGTATATTCCAATGATGCACAGGGCAAGGAGGCAATCCAGTGTGGAATGAGAAATTTACATTCAGTGTAGAGTATCCATCAGAGGAAGAAGATGAGCGATACAAACTCATCCTCAACATCATGGACAAGGACACCTTCTCTGCAGATGACTACCTCGGCCAAGCCACGTATGCAATTCCTTAATTTGGAAATTTTTTATTTCATATCAATTTTTTTTTTTTTTTTTTTTTTTTTTTTTGTAAAAAAAGAATTTTTTTTTTTGTCTCGATAAAAAGGAACAAAACAATAAATTTAAACGTGATTAATGGAAGTCCTATCAACTCTCTCCTACGATAACCCTAATATTAATATGCATGACCTCATATGATTGAGTTCGTTCTCAACATTCACATCCCTGTCAATTTTTGTTTATTTGCGGAAAAAAATGGTAAATAATCTTTTTTGGACGTGATTTAGAAGAAAAATGAGTGAGAGTATTAATTAGTGCTACCACTAATGATGTGGCAGTAGGCCCCACCATGAATGATTTGATGTTTTGGCCTTGGTGTTGTATTTTTTTTCTTTTTTTATTAAGTGCCATGTCATCGTCTTTTTAGAGCTCCAAAATTAGTGGTCTCTATCATTGTTGGACTTAGAAATCTCTATATATTGAGGAACCAGATAAGAGGGGCTTAGATGAGCCGATAATGTGGTGTACCACACATAGGAATCCACAGGCTTTGTTTCAAAACAGGTTTAAGTTAAGTCTAATTCTAACAACCCAATGAAAAACATTAAGACGTAGTGACAAAAACTCGGAGACTCTTAAAAATAGGCACGATTCTCTCCGTGAGCATCACCCCAAAGACCTGAATTCATGTCTTACTAGTCACCAAATCACATAAGAGTAAAGTCCTCAGCCACCAGACTAGACTATGAATTTTCAATGTAAACAATATGTTATTCAAACTTACAAGAGTTTAACAAGCTTCTAATATATTATATTTTTCCTCGGGACTTGAAAAAGAACACAGGTAAAATATATCTCACCAAAAAATGTTGTGTTATTAAAATTAATTTTTTGTTTTTGTCATTTGGGTTGTGGTTGATTCTATTTCTATGATGATTTACATTTTTGGTAAAACACATAATGTTAATATAGGATATATTTGGAAGACCTTTTGGCACTAGGAGTGGAGAATGGAAATGCAAAGCTACATCCTCTCAAGTATAGTGTTGTTTCCCCTGACCAAAATTACTGTGGAGAGATTCAAGTTGGTGTCACTTTCACCCCTAAGGTACTCTGCAAATTCAATTTATAAAATCCTTTTTTTTTTTAAAGGGTTGGTATATATCAACAGATCAATTTCATCTATTTTTCATTTTTTATCTAGATTCAAGCAATGTCGATTTGTTGATTCAAAAAATACATAATCAGGATCAGTGAGGCATGAAAAGTAAGGAAAAAAAATAATTTGTAAATCACACATAGGCACAAGAATATAAGGTTTACGTGATTCATTTCAATACTAAGACTGTGTCTTTGGTTGTTGTGATTTCATTATGATTAGAAAAGCTTGCAAACAAGAAAGATAGTTGCCCCCAATTACATTTACATAAAACCAAAGTTATATGTCACAAGTGTAAAAATATCAAAATATCCTTTAGGTTGTGTTTGGATCATAAATTTTGGAAGATTTGAAAGGAAAATGTGAATGAAATATAAGTTTTTTTTTTTTCTCCATTTCTAAATCCCTTTTTAAATTCATAATCTAAACACAATGTTAATTATCAAGTACTTATCAAGATCCACACTCCAATACTATTTTCTAAAATATGACAAGAGATACACACTCCAATATACACGTAGTTGTGATAGTTATGCATCTCAGTCTTGTGCTGATGAGTGTTTTTCTTGTTTGTGTGTTTGATAGGTACAAGAGGAAGAGGAAGCTGAGGAAGAAGAATTTGGTGGATGGAAAGAAAGTGATTATTAGCTGCTTTGCCAAGTTAGCTAATTTGTGGATCAGTAATGCTTGGTGGCTCGGAAATTTATGCCTTGAATGGCTTAAATGTGTCAAAATGACATCGTTTTAGAGATAAAATGACGTCATTTTGATACATTCAAACCGTTCGGGCCACACAAATTCGGGTCACCAAGCATTTTTTTTTGTAAACTCTTTGTTGTGTGTTTGTGTGTGAACCAGTTGTTGAAATTATTTCTGTAATCATAGAGAGTCAATCTTAAGGTTAAATTCTCATTTATGGATAAGGGGATGGGTTACGGTTAATTTTATCTCATGATAACATTATTTTGCGTTGGTTTAAATTTTATGACTTTAAATAATTTATCATAAGGGCTCTTTTATCTCGCATAAGTAATATTTATTTTGTCCAATTTTCGATCGCAAAATGATTAAAATATATTATTTGGCATAAGTTATCCAACTTAATCCTATCAACGAATCAAATACGCCAAATATTACTCACCATGTAGCACAAGTCATTTTTTTATTTATTGAAAAATTGAGTGCTCTATTTTTATAATATTAAAAAAATTTATAAAACAAAAGATTAAAATTTAATTTTGCCAAAGATGGGTTTAGAAGATTCAAAATTTTAAATTTTGCATTTATTATAAGAGATTTGCACTTTCAATTTTATTTCACAAATTCAACAGCAACCCACTCTATATATACACAATTAAAATTAAAAAATTGAGTCTAAAAAGGGTGTTCAAAATCTGATGAAATTTGCTCAGATCAAACCTTCAAAACGTACATATTGTTTTAATGGTGGCAAATAGCAAACTAGTTTAAGGTGTTTGAAGAATTTTAAGAATAACAAATGTAATCTTATTATTCTCTTCTCATTGTTTTATCTTCCTCACATAATTGCCTATAGTATTTGAGGTGTGTTATTTACAATTCATGTATCAATTTTTTATATGTAAAAACATTTACAATCTTTCATTAAATCCTACTTTGATGAATTTTTATTTTCATCTTTTTGTTGTGAAAATGAGATCCAATTCATTCATTAAACTTCTATAAAAATCAAGTTACCACCAAAAATTTTATCAAATGAGGGACGAATAAAATCTTTCATCAAATTTTTAACAAAATCCCATTTTTACTTAAATTTGATAAAATTGTTAAAAGATGAAGAATTGGAGATCATTTTTTTCATCTAATTTAGCTTTTGGAATATGCTAACTACTTTTAAAAAGATTTGATAAAAAATTGATTCCACTATTAAGACCATCTCCAACGGTGAATCAGATTGATCACCAGATTTAAATTTGATGATAAAGGACCACTTTTATCTCTCCACCAGTTTCACCAAAATGATATCAAATTGAGAACGAGCCAAAACTTTTACCAAAATGAGGAGCTGGATCAGATTTCACTAAAATATTGTGTGTTTATGTTGGAGGTGGATCCCACCGGAGTCGATCATTGTCAAGAGGCTCAATTGGGTGTTCAAGGGGTTTAAACTCAACTGCAACTTCAATCCCATGAGCAGCAGATGCAAAACACCGCGATAATGTAGGAGTAAAGCTTCGTTTGGGAACAGATTATTTTAGTAATTTTTTGGTTTTTTATAAAAAAAATGTGCAAAAAAGTAGAGAGAGTGATATAATAACTTATAACAACTTTTTGGCTTTTTAACTAAAGAGCAATGATAGAGGGCCACAAAAAGTGTGGCTCAAATGGCTCAAAACTGCCAAAACGACGTCGTTTAGCCACAAAAAGTGTGGCTCAAATGGCTCAAAACTGCCAAAACGACGTCGTTAATTTTGGCAGTTTTGAGCCATTTGAGCCACACTTTTTGTGGCCCTCAAACATTTTTCTTAACTAAAATATATTGTTGACAAACGAGGCTCAGGTTCATGAAACCAGATGCAAAACACCGCGATAGAACAGCTTTCAGACACAATTTGGATAAAAATTCACATAAGCAGGGTATCAATAAGGCAACAAGCATTGCGCCCCATTCAATATTCCATAGCAAAAGGTCAATAGGTTGTGCAACTCTCCAATAGCTCTCCAACTATCTAGAACACAGTAAGTACAAAATCATCTATGCATTTAAGGTGAGGCAAACAAGAATCTAACAACAAACATCATTTAAGATACAAAAACTAGATAATTAACTTATTACTGAACTTAACTATTCGAACCCATCATGAAAGGGTCTGTGAAAAAATTCTCACTATTTTATAAGACCAAATCAAACCCATTTTCAAAAAGGAAAATTCTTTAATACTCTGTTGGTCTATTGGTTTGTACAAAAGAGTTATTTTCCATACTCAGATTGTTTATTGAAGTCAATTTCAAGACTGAATTCGTTTTTTCAAGACAAACAGACTTCAAAGAACCACTTAGGTTTAAAAATTGAATTCAAAGCAAATCCCATTTGAGAAATCTGTTTCAAAATAACATGTTTTCAAAAACACAAAACACAGACTTCAAAGAACGACTTGGGTTTGAAAATTAAATCCAAAACAACTCAAATAAACATTGGTTTGGCCAATGAAAAGGTCAAGGCAAGTCTTGACCAACATCTAAATCCAAAATTAATACAATTTCCTATAATGGATTGAATTAAAATCAACAAATTACCTGACAACCATATATATATACACACAAAGATATAGCTCTCAATTGAGGAACAATAAATGAAAAAAGAAAGTGCAGATCAGAAAAACAGAGCAATCAGTTGAAGAAACAGAAACCCTAGTAGAATCAAGAGGGATAAAGAAAGATGCTTAGAAGTGCACTTTGGGTTCGTTGGTGAATATTTCTGTTGACAGAAAATCTAGAGAAGAAACCCACCATTCTCAGCTCTTCACCTCCCCAACAACAAAACAGTTCACCGCCTATTGGTCTCGTGTTTCTCTGTTTTGAGTATGTCTACGGTGGAGCAAGTTAAAAGATGCCGTCCACCATCCCATTACTGGTCTCTCTCTCTCTCTGTTTTGAACGATAATGGGAGACGAAAATTTTTTGGCTCGCGGGAAGTCTCTAATCTTTTGATGCAAGTTAAAGTGCAATCGTTAGAGGGACTCATATCAGATCGAGGAAGTTGTTTTTTTTTAACTCGGATTTAGTAAATCGTTGGAGATACTCTAAGGTGACTAAATCAAGTTTTTTATCTAAATTATTGAACAAATTTGATGGAAAAAAAAAAGGAAAAAGTTAGAGTTGATTTAACCAATTTTAATTGAAGGTAAAAAATTCATATAAATTAATAGTAAAATATCACATTATTTATTTTGAAGGTAAGGTAATATTAAATAATAATTGAAGAAACAAAATACAATTTATCACTGAAATGATATTTCATCATAAATATTTGGATTGAAATAATAATACTATGGTAAATTATAATTATACCCTTAAGATTTATTTAAAATACAGATTGTTCTTTGTAATTTTGAAAATTACATCTCGTCCCTTCAAATTTATAATATTATAACATATGACCCATTTGTTAATAAATCATTAAGTTAATTAATAATTTTTAATGATATCATAAATATATTTCAATAAAAGTTTTTGGTAATTTTATTATTATATAGGAGAGTTGTTAATTTTTTTCCCTAATCAATTCTATTAAATAAAAAATTCAAGTAAGTGATAATTGTAAATTTTAAAATTAGACGAGACAATTCGTATTTTAAGTAAATTTTAGATGTGTATTTGTATTTTAATATACTCTTGAGATTTGTTTAAAATACAGATTGTTTCCTATAGTTTTGAAAATTATAAATACCTCTAGTTATAATTCTTTATTTAACAAAATTAACAAAAAAATAAATAAATTATAACTACTCTTCTATATAATAATAAAATTAAATGAAATTTATGATATTATCAAAAATTATTAATTTTCTTAATAAAACAAAAGATGCCATTTGTTATGAGAAACTTGAAGGAGCAATGTAATTTTTAAAACTACATAGAATTATTTGTATTTTAAACAAATATCAAGAGGTGTATTTGTAATTTATCTACAATAGTGATTATAAATATAGAGGGCATTGGGTGTGCTCCCTAGGGTTTGGCTTAATGGGTGCAACTTAGGATTTGGAAGTGTGTTCTCTCCAAGTCTTACGTTCAATTTCCACTAAATGCTATTAAATCCTTAAAGTCACATCCATGGGTTTTGCTTGAGATTTTCTAAATTCACGTTGAAGTGCGGGTAAGCTAATTTGAACAGTTGCTCATTAATTTTTTTAATAGTAATGTTACATCCATTGAATTTGGTCTCGTCTGCATTGTCCGAGTTTGTGTATATCGGTCGTTCAGTAGGTCATTCGGGAGATCATCCGACCGATTATTTAAGTAAATATTAGTTAATACTCTGATTGAAAGGATGATAGCCGCGATTGATGAGGGTGACATTCATCATTTAGACGATTGTCTGGTCCCATCATTTGGTCAGAATCAGACTCACTCTATTTCATTGAACAAGCATTTTTCTTTTCTTTTTTTTTATAATTAAAACTAATAAAGAATAGTAGTAAAAATGAAGGAGGTTGAACAAGCGGTTTTCTTTTTTTAATTAAAACCAATAAAGAATAGTAGTAAAGAATAATAGTAATAATAAGGGGTAAAAGTGTAATTTGGCCTGAAGGTAATTGAAGTAGGGTGGATAGAGAATATCCGTAGTGGAGTGAGAGTACCTTCAATCCAAACAGAAACACTGGAAGCAGAGATCGGAGCAAACATTTTTGGTTGGTACCCCCAAAGTCGTCCTCTTCCTCTTCCTCTCTGCACCAAACCCAATCCCTTTTCACTTCCTATTTTTCCTCCATCAAGCCCTAAAACCCTACTACACTCTCTCCTCTTTCTCTTCCTTCTCCAATTTTTTATTCTCTTCAATTAGGGTTCTATTCTGTACTTCCCATTTTTCAGGAACAGCAAGCAATTCATTTCATCTAAATCCGAGTATGTTCTCTTTTTCTCTCATGCATGTGTGCTTCCGTGTAAATTTTGAAGCTTTTATGGGTTCATGAGGCTTGATCTATTGTTTGTTGGAATTTTTTTCTGTTTTTTTCCATCTGCATTTTGAGTCTGTTTGGTTGCTGGGAAAATTTTGGCATTTGAAACAAATTGGGGGTGAGGCTTAGCTGGGTCAAGATGAACTGTACTTTCTTGTTTGTCTGTTTACAAATTATATTTTTTTTTGCTGCGAAATGAACCATTTACTGCAAGATTGCAGAGTTTGATCATTTTCCCCCCCTTCAGTATTTGTGTTGCAATTGATTGTCCCATGCAATTTCATTTGAGTGTTGGGATATGCTTTACTTTACCCTCTGTTTGGTTTCCGAGAAAATTGTTGCCATTTGAGAGAAATTTGGGGGAGGATTAGCTGGGTAAAGGTGAACTGTACTTCATTGTTTGTCTGTTTACATTGTATTAGCTATGAAATAGGAAATTTAGTTTAAGATAAAGTTTGATCGACATTCTGAGTCTGTTTCTGACGCATTCTGAGCCGCTTTCACACATACTTTCAACTACTATTTGGGTTCATGAGTTTTAGATTTATATAAAGCATCCCAAACTAGTTTCTTTTCTCTATTTCAACTTTGAACACATTTCAATTCCCATGGTTTATTAGTTTTTGGATGGTTTAAAACATATTAGAAAGTAAACACTTTGTTAGAACTAGATGTAGTGTAGCCTTCCCAAACAATGAAATCATCTTACAATTTTGCCTTACTTTAAATATTGAGAACACGGATTTCCTTATTCTTTTATTGTAGAAGAATCTCTCTGGCTCCGCATCTGTCTCTCTCGTAGTTATTTTTTCGTTGTTTTTTAATGTAAAATTTCTCTTTGTTCACTCATATACCCATAAGCCCTCACACATGGTCATCAGCATAGCCTGATATTTGCCCGACACGTGTGGAGCGGGGACTTTACGTGGGTCTCGGGATTAGTCAGGTTTACGCGGATACCTGATAATAAATAAGTATGGTTGATTTTCTTCCCACCTCCTTAAATGTAGATTATGAATCTGTGCTCTCGCTGAGAAGAGTCACTTAACTCAGCCTTTTCTTCTATTCTTTAAATATCAATGATTATTCTTTTTTGTTGGCTTAATGTTGGTGTTATTTCATTTTTCAGGTTGCTTTTTGTAAATTTGACAGGAAGAGCAATGGATCACAGTTCAGGTGAGGACACAGACATAAGTGAATCCGAAATCGAGGAGTATGAAGACAAAGCTTATGAAAAACTGAAGAGTGGTAGTCATCAGGTCAAATTATCAGATGAAATGTTCAGTTGTCCCTATTGTCCGAAGATAAGAAAACGATATAAGGAACTCTTGCAACATGCTACTTCCGTGGGCAATTGTAATTCACAAAAACGAAGTGCAAGAGACAAGGCAAATCATCTAGCATTGGTAAAATACTTGGAAAAGGATTTAGGGGTTGGTCCTGGTTCTGGTCCATCACAACCTGTGACTGAGTCTGATGCCCTTGCAGATTGTGACCGTGATGAGATGTTTGTGTGGCCATGGATTGGAATTGTGGTTAATCTCCAAACTGAATGGAAGGATGGGCGATATGTGGGGCAAAGTGGTTCCAAGCTGCGGGACCAGTTGATAAGAAGAGGGTTCAATCCAATAAGAGTTCATCCGCTGTGGAATTTTCGAGGTCACTCAGGAAGTGCTGTTGTGGAATTTAATAAAGACTGGTCTGGTTTTAACAATGCCATGTCATTTGAGAAGGCTTATGAGGCAGATCATCATGGGAAAAAGGATTGGAATGCTGCATCTAAAGATCGAGGGTCTGATCTCTATGCTTGGGTTGCTCGGGCGGATGACTACAATTCTACCGGCATTATTGGGGAACATCTTCGCAAGACTGGAGACCTTAGAACCATTTCTGATCTCATGGCGGAGGAGGCTCAGAAAACAAGTAAACTTGTATCTAATTTGACAAACTTAATCGAGGTCAAAAATAGGAATTTGGTAGAGATGGAGAGCAAATTCTCTGAGACTTCAAACTCTCTTAACAAATTAATGGAGGAGAAAGACAGGCTCCATCAATCTTATAATGAAGGTGTGTGTGTTGTTTTAGTGCTCAATTATTGGCTCCCTCAACATTTTGAATTTGACTTGATTCTTATTTTTTGTTTACGGTATTAGTAGTTGCAGTGGTGGTAGTTTGTTTCATGTTTGTTTGGATTTGTCAGAGATAAAAAAGATTCAGTTGAGTGCACGAGAACATTTCCAGAAGATTTTCAATGATCATGAAAAGCTTAAGTTGCAACTGGAATCTCAAAAGGGGGAGCTTGAGCTGCGTGGAAAAGAATTGGAGAAACGTGATGTCCAAAGTGAAAATGAAAGGAGAAAGCTCTCTGAAGAGATTGAAAAGGTTTGATATTTCTGACTTGGTTTTACCGCTCTTGTATTAACTTTGTGAGTTTATCTGTTCAGACCTGATATAAATACTGAAGAAGAACAGGTCTCCTGTCAATAATTAATTGTTTAGGAGCTTGGCATTCATTGATATCCTGTTATCTATATGCTTTCTGAAGTGGAATGGCAACAAAGTTGACCATTTTCTTCCCCTTTATTCTAGACAAGGGAGAGTAGGCATTCTTTCTCAATCCGTTGTATTAATCATTCTCATCCTCAATGCAAAAGGCATGGCATGGCATTTTTATCCACGTCTGAGTGAGCATGACTGTTCAAAGTGCGTTCTTGTAAGAGCACCTGTGTCATGAAGAAATTTGGGGTATTATGGTGATAACACGTGGCGGTATCACTGACAGTTCTCATATTGTGGTAGTGGGGTCTACGTGGTTTGCTTGGTGGGAGAAAAGAGTTGTTCACCTAGTTCCATTTATAGTTTTTTATTGGTTGGTGACACTGCTTAGGATGGTTTCACCGTTGCACTCAATATTTGTTCTTGTGTCGTGTACAATATATTCAAATTCTGGACCCCAAGGCTGTGAGCAAAGTTGCATCTGGGTTTGAGCCCCTTGGTGGCATGTGGTGGAAGTCTTGGCAGCCGATCAATGGACTGGGTTTCAACATAGGCCATATGGTTCACTATGCCAAAAAAATAAATAAATAAATAAAAATAAAAAAATTGTAGGGGGTTTCAACATTGGGCATATGATTCACTGCCAAAGAAAAAAGAAAAAAAAGTGAAGGTCTTATTGTACAGTAACTTTCATTATACTTGTTACTGCTGTAGCATTAGTTATTTTTATGATTATGTTATGTATTGAAGTGTTTTAGTTAGTTATGAAATGCTTGACCAAATTGATTTCATTGTTCTTTCAGAATGCCATAAAAAATAGTTCGCTTCAGATGGCAGCTATGGAGCAACAGAAAGCTGATGAAAATGTTTTGAAATTGGCTGAGGATCAGAAGGTCTGTGAATTGTTACATCACTGAAAATAATTGGATTACTCTCTGTCAAGTTCAAACGTTAGCTAATGTTAAGGCTGTGACTATTTATTTCAGAGACAAAAAGAGGATCTCCACACAAGAATAATTCAACTGGAAAAACAGCTGGATGCGAAACAAGCACTTGAGCTTGAAATTGAGCAACTGAGAGGGACATTGAATGTTATGAATCACATGGTTGACGATGGTGATTTGGAAGTCCTTAAAAAGGTTGAGGGAATGCACAAAATGTTGAGAGAAAAGGAAGGAGATTTTGATGATTTAGAAGCATTGAATCAAACTCTAATAGTGAAGGAGCGGCTTAGCAATGATGAGCTGCAGGAAGCTCGTAAAGAGTTGATTAATGTAAGTGTTTCATTTTATTCGTCCTTTTGTAGTTCTCTTTTCTGTTCTTTTCTTTTTTCCTTTTTGTGCGTGCCTGCGTGTGTGGATAACTAACTTTATTAATAGAAGCTAAAAACAAGAACGGCTTTTCTGTACCCAAATGCCTTCAGTTTTCAAAATGCTAACTGTATTTATCATTTTTACTGCTCCAGTTTAGATGCCATTGTCATTATAGACAGTCTTACAGGATCTTGATTCTTGCCAAGTATGTGTTCCAATATGTAATGTTCTAAGTTGGATGTAGCCCATTGGTTTTGTTTACAGGTTTCAATTTACTTAGATTGTGATGGTATAGATATTTTTTGGATGGTATGATTTGGCAGAAAAGAATCTACTTTTGTCACCTTGGGTACTTGCATCATTGCATGTACAAAAAGAGGAACCACTTTTGTTGACTTATGAAATTATTTTTCCTTCCTTTTTCCCTTTTTTATCTTTTTTTTTAGCATTTTTTAATAAAATTCTTAACCTTATTGGGGAAAGAAGAATTTATTTGTTTAGAATGTGAATGTGACTATAAGAGCAGGACATGCGTCTTGGGCAACTGGTTATGCAAAGGCTTTACTATGAACGACTGGATCTTCGGTATTTTAGTAACACTTAAACTGATACACACAAAACTGTAGCTTATCAGATTTTTCCGTAAATTCTACTGCTGGTTTCTTTGCCCATACAATTGGGTCTTTAAGCTTTGAAGAACTAATTCACTTGCTTTGTAGGGCTTGAAAGAAATGCCAAAAATTGATAATATTGGTGTTAAGAGGATGGGAGAACTTGACAATAAACCTTTCCATGAAGCAATGAAGCGGAAGTACAGTGCCGCAGAAGCAGAAGAGAGAGCTATGGAACTATGCTCGTTGTGGGATGAGTATCTTCGTGATCCTGAATGGCATCCTTTTAAAGTCGTCACCGTTAATGGGAAATCTCAGGTGTGCATTTTATAGTACAAGCTGAAACTATGCAAGCACAGTAGTTAAAACTTTTTACCTTGCTTGAGTAGCACAAACATTGTTCACATGATTATGAAGTAAAAAAAATTGTCTGTTTTGCATCAATGTTGCCAGATGTCAAACTATCATATTGCCTTTGTCAGTCAGTCAGTCAGTCAGTCAATGCCTTATGTCTTACGTGCAAATTTGAAGACATTGAAATATGTGGGTCAGGGATCCATTTTCATTGTTGGCTGCTCAGAATAGCAATTCATTGATTGGTGGCTTTATTCAAAATTCGTGATACCTTTAAAATGAATTGGATGTTGCATTCACTCTCTCTCTCTCTCTCTATTGATCTATCCATTTATTTCCGTGTGTTTGTGACACACACATTAGAAAGAATTCCACATTTCCAAAGCTGCTCATTACTCTCATCAGTGTTGTATCTGCAAATGGTCTATGCAGTGTCCCAGTTGACATTGATGTGACCAAACTTCATTCTGGTATTTGACCTACATTTACTTTGTGAATGTCTTCCATGTTGATAGTTGAGTGTGCTTATTCAACATCCTTTTTTTTGTATGAGCGCGTGAAGGAAGTAAGTTTAAAACTGCTTGACTTTGGAAATTTTGATTTGAAACCACCTGCAGTTGGTAAAAACTCCACAAATGTGCACACGTATTCATCAAAATGGCACACTTTAGGCTCCCTTTGTTTTTCCTTTCTGCATGTTATAGTTTACATAATACTGATGTTTCTGGTTCAGGGAGTAATTGACACGGAGGATGAAAAACTGAAAGGTATGAAGAATGAATTTGGTGAAGAAGTATACGATGCCGTCACAATGGCTTTGACGGAGATAAATGAATACAACCCAAGTGGAAGGTACATAACCTCGGAGCTGTGGAACTACTTCAAAGGGAGGAAAGCGACATTGCAGGAGGGTGTTGCTGTCTTACTGAATTTGTATAAACGCAGGAAGCCGGCTGTCTGATGGTCGGAATGTATTTTATGTCATGAAGTGTGGTGTGTTTGTGTCTGTATCGCTGCAACATAGACTGACAATGTGGGGAGGGAAGGGGATTGGGGATCGGTTGACGTAATGAGTTATGAATTGCTATATGAAGAACCCACTAAAACAAGTGGATTTAGGGTTTGGGTTGTAGTGATGATTAAACTCCTAATAATAAACCAATGAACTTCGTTTCATGGATCCGCCTTGTGAAGTATGTACTAAACTATGCGTTTGTTGATCTGCATAATGTGTCAAATTTTCTTTTTTACTGTTGAAATGGATTTAAAATTAAAAAAAAAAAAAAAAAACTCTCTTGCCTTATCTAGCTATCTAGTTGAGCGAGTGATATTTTGTTTAAGCTTGTCTTAAAAAATTAATGAATTTCAAATTAATTAAATTTTTTTTTTTTAATGTTTGACTTGTTTAATTTCTTAACCGTTTTTATATAAACATCATTTTTATTCATGAGTTATTTTTATATATAAATAAATTCTATAATTTTGTTTATTCATATGAGTTAATTTTCATCATACTTTCCAAATAGATGTTGCTTTAAGTTTTAAAGTGTACATAAATTATTTTTATCATATTATTTTGAATAATATATATATATTTTTTAAAATTTAGAGAAAATATAATTCATTTATTTTCACTCTATTCTTACCTCGTTTTTAATTGATCTCATGGATATGTGAAATGGGCACTACGCTCCAATCTCACCTGTTCCCATCTCGTGAGTCCCAATTCCAGAAAGAAAAATACTTTGCCCGTTTGTTTTCAAGAGTAGAGTAGAGGGAATTGATAGTGAGGGGATTAAGTAAAATTGTATTTATTTTAATAATAGTTGTTGGTGTAGAAATTGTTAAATTATTTTTACATAAAATAATAAAACAAATAAAAAAAATATAAAAAATTAAACCTTAATATTTAAAAAAAAAATCTCAATATATAAAAAATTAAAAAATAAAAAAATTTCTAATCCCCTCACTATTTTTCTAATACCATCTCCACTTCCTCCACCTTAATCCCCCTTCCAACCTCCATCTATTTCACTTTCTCCATCCCAATCCCCTCCCCAACTCTATAAACAAACACAATACTAAGCCTCCGTTTGGGAAGTGAGTTGGTTTTTTGACTTTTTTAGCTATTTTAGCCTGGGCTAAAAAGTTTGGTTTGGGAAGGATTTTTTGGCTTTTTGATTTTTTTGACTTTTTTTGTGAGAAAAGAATGTAATGATTATGGGTTGGATGTGATATTTTATTTTTTGTGGCTAAAATAACCTATTTTGTCTTTTGTGGCTAAAATAACCAAAAAAGCCCTATTTAGCTCTTGTCAAATGGAGCCTAAATAACCCCACCTCCATCCTAATCCCCTCCTATCTATTTAACCCCAAAATAAACGGGGCCTTTGGAGCTCTAAAATTAGGAAAATGTTTGAGGGTCACAATTTCTGTGGCCACAATGGCTCAAAATTGTCAAAACAACGTCGTTTTGGGTGCAAAACATGTCAAAATGACGTCGTTTTGATAATTTTAAGCCATTATGGCCACAAAAATTGTGACCCTCTAACATTGTTGCTAAAATTAATTCTAATGAGTTGGTAATAAATTTCACCCATTGTTGCTAAAATTAATTCTAATGAGTTGGTAATAAATTTCACCCATTATTGATGTGATGTATGTTTTTTTTTTTTTTTACTCTATGCTAACTCATTAAAGCTGCTCTTTTAGAACTTTCAATCACAACTGTTCTAGAAATCTACGCTGGCGGCTTAGGTTCTAACGGAGGTCATGAATTTAACTGTTTCTGTAAGAATCCGGATCACCCGTCGCCTTCCCCTGTTGCCCTTTCCTGTCGCCCCCAAAACGACGTCGTTTTGGGGGCAATTTTCAGAAAAAAAAAAACGCAGAGAAGAGGGAGGAAGGAGAGGGAGAGGGAGAGGGAGAGGGAGGAGGAAGAGGCTGCGAGTCGTCCCTCGCCGCCGTCGCAGCTCGTCCCTCGCCGCCGTCGCAGCCGCCGTCGCTGCCGTCGCAGCAGCTCCACCTCGTCGCAGCCGCCGTCGCTGCCTCCGCCTCCGACCCGTCTCCACTTCCTCCTCCTCCTCCTCCTCTGTATTTATGGCCCCCTCCAGTCCGGCCCTTCCCCTCCTCCTCCTCCTCCTCCTCCCTCCATCTTCCTCTCCTTCCTCCCTCTTCTGCGTTTTTTTTTTTCTGAAAATTCGCCCCCAAAACGACGTCGTTTTGGGGGCGACAGGAAAGGGCGACAGGGTAGTGCTACCGACGATCCGTTCCCGTTTCTGTAATACTTGCATTTTGTAAGGATGATTAGATTAATTTTTATAAATGTTCATCTAATAATTAATAATTAATTTTCTTCAATCAAACAAAAAAGTCTAAACCTAAACTAGTGGGTGTTTAGGATTTATTTATTTTGTGATTTTTTAAAGTTTATTTTCTTTTTTAGTATTTTTTTAAAAAAAAAGTTAATAGACTTTTAAATTTAGTTTCACGATATGAATTAGAAAATTTAAAAATTTCTAAATAAAGTAAAAAAAAAAGAGACAAAATTAAATAAAAATTGTTGATTTTTTAAATTAGTTTTACGGATTGAGAAAATTAAAAAAATTAAAATAATTTATTTAAAAGATTTGTTTGATTTGTTTCCTAAGAGACAATTATTTTAAAAAAAAAATTCAAAAATTTATTTAGTTTAAAATTTAAAATCACCTTTTTATTTATTACACATTAATTAATCATTTTATTTTTTCACATCTTACATATTAATTAATTACTTTGTCTCTTACACTTATCTATTTAATTATAAAAAAAGATTAAATCATCCCAAACTCAAAATAACAAAACTATTTTTAAATTATATAACTAGATAAATTTTCAAATTTTATAAACTCTTTGAAAAAATTATTTAATAAATACAAACCAATGCGACTTTTTTGCTTTTGTTTTTGGGGTCCGACTATGGTGCCCAAAAGTAGTATTTGGGTACCATACATGAAAATGATTTTCAACCTTTAGATCAAAATCTTAAATCTTGACCATCCAAAATCACATAGATCCAACCGGTCACAACCGGTCACAGGCCTAAATCAAAGCACTGAAACAGGCGAGAGAGAGAGAGAGAAGACGAAGTGAACAGAGAGAAGACCGCAAAAGCACCGAACCAAGAGACAGAGGGCACCTCGTCGGACGGGAGTTCTCCACCGCACTCGGCGAGAGAGAAGACGAACGACGAAGAGAAGGTGAATAAATCTAAGAACCTAATCACCACTAAAATTATACATATAATATATATATACTGAAGCTTTGATTTGGGGCTTAATGCCTATTCACCATTAAAATCATAAATGTATATAATATATATTTACACACATTTGTAAACATAGATGAGTACACGTATGGATTTACATGTGGTAAGAGATTGGCAAAGTGATAGGGTTATAGTCTTCTCAAATTTGTGTTTCTCTCTCTTGGTTTGGTGCTTTTTCACTTGAGTGTTTTTTTTTAATTATTTTTTCCCCTTCTTTTTACAGCGATTCAGGCCTTATTTCAGGTAAATCTAAAGTTTCCGGAAAGGATTTTCCAAATTAGTGTCGCCGGCAGCAAAAGATTTGCCTTCATTCATCATTGTAGTTCTGACTTTGTTTCTCACTTGTAATTTAATTTTTTATTTTCTTAATTTGGTTGATGATGAATATAGGAGAAAAGGAATGAAGAAATCACCATGTTATATTTTTTTTTCTTTATTTTATCTCTTTTAGTTGATTGTCATTGTAATTTCTGGCTTTGTTTTCACCTGAATTTGTTTCGTCTTTTCCTGTTGTAGTTGTTTTTGTTTAGATTTTTGAAAAAAAGAAAAGAAAAAGAATGAGTTAAATCTCTTTTTTCCAACTCGAAGATCTTTTTTCCATTTTTCTTTTGTGGCCTGGTTTTGCTTGACAGTGCTAGAATTGTTATTCTTGTCCAGCACTGAGGCAATTTCGTTGTTCTTTCTTTTAGTGAAGTACCTGTTTGGCTTTTACATCAATAAACTCTTTTTTCTCTTTGCTGATAAATAATTTTTTTTAAAAAAAAAGTAAAGTCATCTTATCATTAGATTTTAGGTGGTGGTAAAAAAAGTAGTGGTGGTGGTGGTGGTGGAGGTGGTGGTAGGGTAATGGTGGAGGTGGTAGGTGGTGGTTAGAAGGGGTAGTGGTGGTAAATAGAGTCACATTAAGGCCAAGTTTGGCATCATTGAAAAAAGACAAAAAGTCAAAAAGTCACTATCCTATTTAAATCACATCATCTTATTTAAGTCACATCACCTCTCTAACACATCACTTCAAACCCAACCCAAACCCAACCCATATTTCATAAAAAGTCAAAAAGTGTACTTATTTAGTCTTCCCAAACTAGGCCTAAGTGATAAGTGTAAGTACAATGAAGGGTAAGAGCATCTCCAACCGTGAATCAAAAATTTCACCAATTCTGAGTTCAAAAATGGCCATTTCCTGAATTTGATACTTCAGGCTCCAACGGTTCACCTTCACCAAATCTATCCCGGGACAACCGGGTGGTCGACCGGCCGGTTGACCGGTTAGGCCAAAAATTTTTTTTTTTTTTTTTTTGCGAATTGTCTGAACTTTTTTTCGGGACAACCGGGGTGGTCGACCGGCCGGTCAACCGGCCGGTTGACCGGTTAGGCAAAAAAAATTTTTTTTTTTTTTTTTTTTAACGGTTTGAACTATTTTTTCTGAACTGTTTGAATCTTTTACTGGTTGACCGGTTGGTCAACCGGCCGGGCAACCGGTTGGTCGACCGGTGTAGCATTTTCAACGGTCAGTAACAGTGATTTGGTAAAATCTGTGTCTTGATCTCAGTTTGATGTCTTGTTTGCTGAATTCTCATTTTGGTATGACTTTGGTGCAACCGTTGGAGCGTGAAAAAGTGGGTTTTTCATCAAAATTTAAATCTGATGCTGGGTTTGGTTCAGCGTTGGAGATGGTCTAAGTATTGTGCTCATTAATGGTAAGTACTTAATAACATTCTATTTACTACTCAATAAAACTGCACTTACTATTCCATTATGTTTAACTTATTAATTATTTAAACCACACTTACTATTTTATTAGACTTGACTTATTATTCCACACTTACTACTTAATGAAACCTCACTTACTGTTAAATCAAACCTCGCTTTCCACTCAATAACGCCTCTTAATTAGTTGTAAATATTGTTATAATAAGTAGTAAGTATTGTCACAATTAGTTATAACTAAGTTTGCATATTCACTTATTATTTTATCAAATTTGACTTACTACTCCATCAAACTTCACTTACTACACAGTCAGACGCCACATTCCTCGTTGAGACTCTACTTACTATTCCATCATACTTCACTTACTACTCAATTAAATCAAATCTCACTTACTACTCAATAACACGTCAATTAGTTGTAAGTTGTGTTATAATAAGTAATAAGTATTGTTAAAATTAGTTGTAACTATGTTTACATGTTCACTTACTATTTCATCAAATTTGACTAGTATTCATTAAGACTCTACTTACTATTCCATCAAACTCTACTTACTATAGAATCAAACCCCACATTTCTCAATGAGACTCTACTTTCTACTGTATCATACTTCACTTGCTACTCAATGAGACTCCAGTCACTATTAAATCAAACCCCACTTACAACTCAATGAGACTTTTCAATTAGTTGTAAGTGTTGTTATAATAAGTAGTAAGTATTGTCACAATTAATTGTAATTAAGTTTACATGTTCACTTACTATATCACCAAATCTAGTTTACTACTCAATGAGATTTTACTTACTACTCTATCAAATTTCATTTATTATACAGTCAAACCACATATTTTTCAATGAGACTCTACTTACTACTCCATTATACTTAATTTACTACTTAATGAGAACCCACTTACTATTAAATCAAACGTTACTTACTATTTAATGAGACCTCTTAATTAGTTGTAAGTATTGTTATAAAATTTAGAATGAAATTATAAAAATCTTAAAATCAAATCAAACTAAAGAAGTAATTTTGAAACATAATCACAAAATAATATTACTCATAATTTACTCAAACATTAAGCAATGTGATATCATTTTACAAATAAAAATAATTTACATGACTTAATTACTCAACCGCTACTACTATCATCACCACCACTACTATCACCACCACCACCACCACCACCACCATGCTACTACTACTACTACCACCGCTATCTTCATCAACATTGTCATTGCTTCCATAAACTACCATTACCATTGCTACCTCTACCACCATCACCGCCAATCCCACTACCATCAACGCTACCATGCCACTACTGCCACCACCATACCGCTACCACCGCTACCACTATCACTACTTCCACCACCACCACCACCACCACCATCACCATCATATCACCACTACTACTCAATCAAACTTCATTTATTACTCAATCAAATATGACTTACTACTCAATAAGGCACCACTTAATTGGACTTAACTTACTATTTAATTAAATCTCACTTACTACTTTAGTTGCCGTTTGGCAAGTGGGTTAAGGTTGGGACTTAAAAAACACAAAAAGAAAAAAACAGACTAAATAAGCTAATAAGACAAAATGTCACATTCAAACTATAATTATTTCACTTTTTCTCTCATAAAAAAGTCAAAAAGTTATTCATAATATCTCTTTCAGTTGGAATATCATTAGAATTGACAATATCATCTTCATTATGAATATTATACTCACTATCATTACCGTTATCATCATCTAGTTCATATATAATGTTATTCTTGTTTTGCTCAGTGTTATCTTCCATTTGCAATATGTGTAAATAAATTAATTAATAAAAAGCAAGTAAAAAATGGTAAGTACAATACTATGAGGTAAAATAGATGGTAAGTGGTAAGTTGAGACCTAAAGAGTTGCAAGTAGAATGAGAAGGAATAAATAAAAAAATCATATTTCATAAAATGAGACTCTATTTATTACTTTATTAAATTTGACTTATAAGTCATTTAAACCACATTTACTAGTCAATGAGACTGTATTTACTATTTTATCAGATTTGACTTACCACTCATTTAAACCATACCTACTACTCAATACTTGACTTACCACTCATTTAAACCATACTTACTACTCAATAAGATTGTACTTACTACTTTATAGACTTGACTTACCACTCATTTGAATTACACTTACTACTCAATGAGACTCTACTTACTACTTTATCAAACTTGACTTATCAATCATTTAAATAACACTTACTACTTAATAAGACTCTATTTATTATTTTATCAGACTTAACTCATTTAAACCACACTTACTACTCAATGAGACTATACTTACTACTTTATCAAAATTACACTTACTACTCAATGAAACTCTACTTACTACTTTATCAAACTGACTTATCAGTCATTTAAACCACACTTACTAGTCAATGAGACTGGATTTACTATTTCATCAGACTTGACTTACCACTCATTTGAATCACACTTACTATTCAGACTATCCTTACTACTCTATCAGACTTGACTTACTACTCATTTAAGCCACACTTACTATTCAATGAGATTATACTTACTACTTTATCAAACTTGATTTATCACTCATTTAAACAATACTTACTCAATGAGACTCTACTTACTGCTTTATTAGTCTTGACTTATCAATCATTTAAACTAAATTTAAGACTACATTTACTATTTCATCAAACTTGATTTTTTTTTTCTTACCACTTAGATCTCATAATTTTTCTTTTAACTAAGTAAAATATTATTCCAACAAAACATAAAAATTTATAAATTCAAAATATAATGGAAGTGAAAGTAAAAAGAGAGAGACTTACCTAAGGAGTTCCAAATTAACAACAATTCTATCTTAAAATCTCCGAAAGTTTTAGAAATGAACATCCTTGACTTATCAATCATTTAAACTAAACTTAAGACTACATTTACTATTTCATCAAACTTGATTTTTTTATTTTTTTTCCCTTACTACTTGAATCTCATAATTTTTCTTTTAATTAGGTGAAATGTTGTTCCAACAAAACATAAAAATTTATAAATTCAAAATATAATGGAAGTGAAAGTAAAAGAGAGAGACTTACCTAAGGAGTTCGAAATCAACAACAATTTTATCTTAAAATCTTTGAAAGTGCTAGAAATGAACATCAAATTTGCACCTTTAGGAATCGATTAAAAAATGCATTCATACTCTCACAACGTTGCGTGCTTTTTGCACCAGCAAAGAAATGTCCATGGAGGTATGCTTCAGCCCATAGAGTACACTTGCAATATACATCTGCAATCCACTTGTTATTATGAAGGCCATACTTGTCTACAAGGTTCTTCCACTCTAATTCAAACATTTCTTGTGTACATTGCATTGACATGCATTTTTCAAAGCTATGAAGAAATCCCTCTATGTGGATATTGGAAAGAGCATTCATTTTAAGATGCCATTTACATAATCGATGTCGAGCAGTAGGCATAACTGTTTTGATTGCTCTACACATGGCCTTATCCCCGTCAGTGATTACAGACAGAGGTATCTTGTGATCCATTGCATCAAGAAATTTCTCTGACACCCATATGTATGTCTCTACTGTCTCGGAAGCTAACAGTGCACACCCAAAAACAGTCGTTTGAAAGTGGTTGCTCACACCTTGTAGTATCACAAAAGGTTTGTTGTACGCATTTGTCCGATACGTAGTATCAAACATCAACACATCACCAAAATACAGATAATCTGTTCGAGATCCACCATCAGTCCAAAACAAATTATTTAATCGATTTTCTTCATCTACATCATATTTATAATAAAACATTGGATCTTGCTCTTCTTTACCACATAAGTAAGCCAAAGCACCTTCTGCGTCACCATCGACAACTTGCACTCTACGCTCAGTCCCAAAATGGTTGTACATGTCCTTCTGTATGAACCCAACATTCTCATAACCACCTGCTTGTTGTGCAGCAAAGTCCATAATGTGACTTGTCCTCATACCAATATGATGCATTGCATTGCCTTGTGCCTTGTCGGCACTCGTAACATTCCGGTGTGAGCGAAGAAATTGAACACCAAGAGGCCCTATCATGGAATGATTGTGCTCCTTGAAAAATTCATTCACTTCATATTTGGAAGTACTCCGATTGTATTTGATACGAAAACAAGCACGACAACCAACTCTAGTTAATTGTTTTGGTTCTCTTTTACGTTCTTCAACCTCAAGGTATTTGGATTGTCTATATCCTTCTTTTGAACATACCCAACTCCTTGATATAACCATATTATTCTTGTCCTTATACAATTGATCCCTTCGAATACTAAAGCCTTTCACCTTAGCATACGAATTATAAAATCTTTCTCCGTTTTCTTCTGAATCAAATGTCATTTCAAACACATCATTTTCAGTAAATTCATCTAGACGCTTAATATCTCTTTCAGTTGGAATATTATTAGAATTGACCATATTATCTTCGTTATGAATATTATACTCACCATCATTACCGTCATCATCAACTAGTTCATATATAATGTTATTCTTGTTTTGCTCAGTGTTGTCTTCCATCTGCAATAAGCATAAACAAATTAATTAAGAAAAAACAAGTAGAAAATGATAAGTAAAATACTAGGTGGTAAAATAGATGGTAAGTGGTAAGTTGAGTCACAAAGAGTTGCTAGTAGAATGAGAATGAATGGCAAGTGGTGTGTTTTTTAATAATAATTAAACTCATTTAAACCACACTTACTACTCAATGAGACTGTACTTACTACTTTATCAGAATTACACTTACTACTCAATGGGACTCTACTTACTACTTTATCAAACTTGACTTACCATCCATTTAAACAACACTTACTAGTCAATGAGACTGTATTTACTATTTCATCAGACTTGACTCACCACTCATTTAAACCATACTTACTACTTTATTAGACTTGACTTACCGCTCATTTGAATCACATTTACTATTCAATGAGACTCTACTTACTACTTTATCAAACTTGACTTATCAGCCATTTAAACCACACTTACTAGTCAATGAGACTGTACTTACTATTTTATCAGACTTGACTTACCACTTATTTAAACCATACCTACTACTCAATATTTGGCTTACAACTCATTTAAACCATAATTACACTTACTACTCAATGGGACTCTACTTACTACTTTATCAAACTTGACTTATCAGTCATTTAAACCACACTTACTAGTCAATGAGACTGTACTTACTATTCATCAGACTTGACTCACCACTCATTTAAACCATACTTACTACTTTATTAGACTTGACTTACCGCTCATTTGAATCACATTTACCATTCAATGAGACTCTACTTACTACTTTATCAAACTTGACTTATCAGTCATTTAAACAACACTTACTACTTAATAAGACTTTACTTATTATTTTATCAGATTTAACTCATTTAAACCACACTTACTACTCAATGAAACTATACTTACTACTCTATCAGAATTACACTTACTACTCAATGAGACTCTACTTACTACTTTATCAAACTTGACTTATCAGCCATTTAAACCACACTTACTAGTCAATGAGACTGTACTTATTATTTTATCAGACTTGACTCACCACTCATTTAAACCATACTTACTACTTTATTAGACTTGACTTATCGCTCATTTGAATCACATTTACTATTCAATGAGACTCTACTTACTACTTTATCAAACTTGACTTATCAGCCATTTAAACCACACTTACTAGTCAATGAGACTGTACTTACTATTTCATCAGACTTGACTCACCACTCATTTAAACCATACTTACTACTTTATTAGACTTGACTTACCGCTCATTTGAATCACATTTACTATTCAATGAGACTCTATTTACTACTTTATCAAACTTGACTTATCAGCCATTTAAACCACACTTACTAGTCAATGAGACTATACTTACTATTTCATCAGACTTGACTCACCACTAATTTAAACCATACTTACTACTTTATTAGACTTGACTTACCGCTCATTTGAATCACATTTACTATTCAATGAGACTCTACTTACTACTTTATCAAACTTGACTTATCAGTCATTTAAACAACACTTACTAGTCAATGAGACTGTACTTACTATTTGCTTTTTGCACCAGCAAAGAAATGTCCATGGAGGTATCCTTCAGCCCATAAAGTACGCTTGCAATATACATCTGCAATCCACTTGTTATTATGAAGGCCATACTTGTCTACAAGGTTCTTCCACTCTAATTCAAACATTTCTTGTGTACATTGCATTGACATGCATTTTTCAAAGCTATGAAGAAATCCCTCTATGTGGATATTGGAAAGAGCATTCATTTTAAGATGCCATTTACATAATCGATGTCGAGCAGTAGGCATAACTGTTTTGATTGCTCTACACATGGCCTTATCCCTCAAATCTCCCAACCAAACATATAGCTCTAATTAGAGCTACCACTAATGATGTGACAGTGGGTAGGGGTGTGCGCGGTGCGGGTCGGTGCGGTTTGAGAGAAAAATAGAAACCGTATGACGGGTGGCGGATTGATAAAAGTGTCACTAGAATTTGCTATTTTCCTTATCGAAAACCGGCGGTTCGGTTGGCAAATAATGGCGGATTTGCCTTGGCGGTTCGGGCGGATTGGCGGTTTATAAAAAATATAATTCAAATTACAAAACTTAAATCAAAGAGTAAAAAAAAGACGAGAGACATCGTGATGTTAAGCATCTTGCGAAGCTTTCTTCTGATGCAGCAAGTGTAGCAACAACATGATAATATCAACGACTATGCCATCAGTTCATTACAAGTATCTGTGGAAGCTACAATGATCAAATACAATACATAAAATTAATATAATTCAGGGTTTACAATATATTGAAAATGTTTACTGATGAAAAGTATTTAGATTGAAAAGTGAATTGGAATCCAATTTTATTTTAGATTACTGACATCTTGAATTCCCCTCGAACAGTAATGTAATACCATATTCTAAGGTATAGAACAACAAGCAAACTTAAGTAAAAAAAAATTTTAGAATCTTATAAAACATGATTTAATAGCGGTGCGGGTCGGTGCGGTTTGGAAGAAAAATAGAAACCGGCGGATTGATAAAAGTGTCACTAGAATTTGCCATTTTTCTTATCAAAAACCGGCGGTTCGATTGGCAAATAATAGCGAATTTTCCTTGACGGTGCGGTTCGGTGCGGTTTTAGCGGTTTCGGCGGTTTCGGCGGTATTATGCACACCCCTAGTTTACATTCTAGTTTATAAATTTTATATTTATTTTAGAGGTTAGGTGCATTTTATTAATGTTTGAATGGTAAGTGTAGTTATGTGGAATAATTACAACTATATCAAGTACTAAATGTGTTTTGTTGTTGTAATAAATTGAAAAACACTCATTTAAACCATACTTACTATTTTATCAGACTTACTTACCACTCATTTAAACCACATTTACTACTCAGTGAGACTCTACTTATTATTTTATCAGACTTGACTTACTACTCATTTAAATAACACTTACTACTCAATGAGACTCTACTTACTACTTTATTAAACTTGACTTATCACTTAAATAACACTTACTACTCAATTAGACTCTACTTACTACTTTATAAAACTTGACTCATCATTTAAACAATACTTACTACTCAATGGGACTTTACTTACTATTTTAATAGACTTGATTAATTAATTATTTAAACTAAACTTAAGATTGCACTTACTATTTCATCAAACTTGATTTTTTTTTACTACTTAAATCTCATAATTTTTCTTTTAACTAGGTGAAATGTTGTTCCAACAGAATATTAAAATTTATAAATTCAAAATATCATGGAAAGTTAATGTAAAAAAAGAGATAGAGACGATAGAGACATAGATTCTTACCTAAGGAGTTCCAAATCAACAACAATCTTATTTTTAAATCTTCAAATATTCAAAAAATTTAAAAATAAACATAAAATTTTGTTCATGGAACCCTCAAATAAATTATAATTTTTTCTATATTTTATTACTTATATTTCTTATTAATTGCATTTATTATTTTCAAGTGTGATAAATGAAAAGGAAATTAGGTTTCATTTATTGCTATTAAGTAGATAAATAAATAAAAAATCATATTTCATAAAATGTAATAAATTATAATAAAATGTATAAAATTCATATTTATTTTGTATATATATTTCTTAAATTCTATTTTATAAATTTTATATTTATTTTAGAGATTTTGAAAATTTATTATAACTTAATTTTTTAAGTTTACCTGTTACCTGAATAGCAGGTTAAGTGTATTTTATCAATAATTGAATGGTAAGTATAGTTATTAATAATAGTAAGTATAATCACATCAAATAGTAAGTATACTTAGTTATCGTGGTAAGTTAAAAATTACTTTTTGGTTTCAAAACCATTAAAAAATTACCTTATTTTTTACGAAACTACCTAGATTTCTTAACCTGATTTTATTATTATCAATCAATGGTTAAATTTAATTTACTTTTAGATCTAATGATCCAAAATTATTTATGTATAATACATGAAAACCACCTTCATGTATCATAGAAAAATCCTTGTTTTTGTTTTTGTTTTTGGGGGTTTGATGTGACTTTTTCTTAGGTGTTACCAAACGATAATAAAGGAAAGCTAGGTTAGGGTTTGGGTTTGCTCAAAAAGAAAAAAACACTACTCAAAAAAATAATCTCGAATACCCTTCACTCTCCCAAGTCAGGTAAACCCGTCCTCCTCCTTTTTCCCCCAAATTGGTTAATTTCAATTCAGTGGAAATGATTTGAATCAAGCATTTTAAGTTTTAAGTTTCCAATTCATTGTGAATCTTATCATAATGTTTCTTGATGTTGCAAGCAGACACTTGCAATTTTTCCAATTGAAAATGGAAAATGAAGTTATTGAAGAGCTCAGAAGAGCACGTAGTCTGGTAATGAGCCTTGCGAAAGACGTTGATGTGAAGAATCAGAGATTGTGGGAAATGGAATGCAAGTGTGATGAGACTTCCACAACTCTTGGCAGGATGATTTCTGAGAAAGATAAGCTCCATCAAGCCTTTGCTGAGGGTATGCCATGTTTCTTACAAATGCTATAAGTTCTTTTTTTTCAATAATGTGTTTGTGTTGGGAGATTTAGCTAGAGATTTAGAAAGGAAAAAAAGAATAAGGGTGAAGTATAAGAATATTTTATTTATGGGGAGAGATTTAGAAAAGAAAAGAGAAAAAGTCGTGAAATATAATTATATTTTATTTATATTTTGGGTAGAGAATTTGAGGAGGTATTTGAAAAGATAAATGAAAAATATAGATAAAATGTGAATAAAATATATCTACATTTTATTTAATTTCACACACTTTTTTTCCTTTTAATTTTTAAATCCCTTCTCAAATCCCTAACTAAACAAGCCTAAGGGAAAAAATGTGTGAAATAGGTCAAATGTACATATGTTTTATTTACCTTTCACCTGATGTTTTCCTTTTCCCTTTCCAAATTTCCTAGTTAGTAGTTATATCACTTCATTTGTATTTTCTTAAATTTCTATGGCAGCATTTGTATTTGTTGTTGTTTTCATTTTGTATTTTGTTCTCGAAAATTATAAAAAAAATTAAAAAAATGGAAACTAATATTGAAAGAAAACTAGTTTGGGAAATTGTTTTTGATTTGGATTTTTTTTGTAAACACTCCTTTTTGTTAAATTTTTTTGAGTTTTTGAAATCTATTTTCACTCCAAAATGAAAACGATTGGCAAATTTTTTTATTGTTTTTGTTTCGAAAGCACAAAAAAAAAAAAAAAAACCTTAATGAAAATTTTGAAAAGATACCAAATGTGGGCTAAGTGATTTTGATGGTATACTACATTCTCATTGTACCCATGATTGGAGTTATTTGCCATTCCTATTGCTGTTGCTAGCAATTTTCGTCACATTATTTTGAACTTAATACAGAGGTTTTTTTTTTTTTCCGTTGAAAAGTTGAAAATTTTCCTTTTCTTAGGAAATCAGAATGAAACATTAGTTGAGTGTCAAAATTCCAATGTTTTCACAGAAACACACTGAAACATGCCAAGAAACGTGAGTTGATTCGACACCATTACGAATGTCTAACAATGGTCATTTCTAGTTGCATTTTTTTTTTTTTTTGGGGTCAAAAGAAGATATTTGAGAATAAAGAAAAATATAAAATTTATTAGAGAATTTGAGTTACTAGGAAGGAGAAGATAAAAGAAGCTTAAGTCACTTATTCTTTTTTTACCGCAAAATACTTTTTTCCCTTTGCAATAGCAAATCTATTCCCAACTAAACCTTTAAACTTTTTGTTTCTGAACTACTAATATTCATAGACCTCAACACGTTCAATTATTTTATTATTGAGAATCTATTTAACATTGATATAGGTTTTTGTTTTTGTTTCCAATCATTTTCTATATATATATTTTTTTTTTCCTCATTGCCTTATGTTCCCTTATGTTTTCATTTCCAAGCTAACCGAAACAAAATTTTAATCCTTGGGGGACCGTATATAACAGGACCACTATGAACCATGTGTAGATTAAAGCAATCACTAAGCATCCATACACTTAGGTGTCTCCAATTAGGTTTTGTGGCCCCTTGGTAAGCTCATCATGTATTAGTTTAAACAAATTGATTATTTCACGGTTTGATGTGTAATACTTTAAAATTATGCCTCGGTATATTTAACAATTAGGTGCGTAGCCAAATTTCATTTTTTGTGGGTGTGAAAATCTCACTTTGGTCCTTCCACTTTTAATTTTTGTCAACCTCATTAATGGTAGATGGACAGATTGGTGACATTGTAACTTGAAAGTGTATGGGGTTGAAGATCACAATCAAAGTTTTTAAAGGCAAATGCGTACTTTAAGGCGTTTTACCTCTCATGAGGCAAGGCGTAAGCCTCAGGGCATTGAGGCATAAGCATTTCAAATTTCAAATTTTAATATTTACTGAATAAATTAAATATTTTTAAATAGTTAAAAAAATAAAAACAAAAATAAATATAAATATGTAAATACTTTTCGCTTTAATGCGTTGAACATTTTACTGCATAGAAGGAAGTTTTCCTTCGCTGAAAGAGAAATCGATATTCTTAACTTCAGTGATTAAGCTTCTCACTTGACCATTAACTGTGTTTTTCTTGATTGATCATTTACTTAATTTTTCCTGTAGAATATAGTTGTAAAAATGGATTTTTTTAAATTTTTTTATGTTTAAACAATCTAATAGACTAAGTTTAACAAATGCCCAAGGCAACTTCTCCATGTGCATATTCCTCACATGCTTATGCACAAAAAGCGTAAAAACCGCCCTTAAGACGCATGTCTCGAACTATGATGCGCAAGCCTTTAGGGAGTAATGCCTAAAAATCAAAGTCTTGATGCGTTTTACCTTAGCCTCAAGGCGAGGCGAGCATCGAGGCGAGCCTCAAGAAAACCTTTTAAAACTCTGATCACAATTAAAAAGTGGAGGGGCCATTTGAGATTTTGGTGAAAGTTTAGGGGTGCTAAGTGTAATTAACGTATTATGTTTTTAACATAATCTTGTGCAGCAATTAAAACTTAAAAGTTATGTTCCTGTCAATAACTCGTCGTATTTTTATAGAAATGAGAAAGATGGAGTTTATTGGGCTACAAAATGAAAAGCTGAAGCACGAATTGGAATGTCAAATGAGGAATATGCATTTCATGAGGCTAGAAAATGAAAAGCTGAAACAGGACTTGGTACATCAAAGACAGGAACTTGAGCAACAAACTAAAGACTTGGAGAAGCAAAAGGCCCAAGTTGATCTTGAGCACAAAAACTTGCTTGCCGAGAAGGAAAAAGTAAGTATGCTTCTGCATTCTCGAAAATAGCTCAATTTGTCTTTTAATGAGAAAACACCCTTCTTTCGTATTTTTGGTTGTATAGAATGCCAAATGAATTGATTCACATTTTAGATCATGCCTCCGTAATTTTGAGAAAAATCAGTCTGAAAATAATGGGAAGGTGGTATTTAACTAGTGCAAGCCTTGAAGAAATATTCATGCAAGTAAGTAGGAAGGATTCCACCTTCTCGCTGTTTTCTATTTGCTGTCTTTCTGAAATGACTAGCTAAAACGCAGCTATGATAGCCGAAAGGGAGTGATTTAGACAGCTCTAGGGCATGCTTCTGACCTTAAAATTAATTTTCATGAGCACACTGGGTCCAGATCTACAAGGAAGGCATTGAATAGAGTCAGATATGGGAATTTGCTATTGCCTTGAGCTGTTGGTGACACAATTTTCTCTCTCAGTTGGTAATTTGGTACAGAACCTTATGCTATAGTGGTGAATTATTTTGCTTTAGGAACATATTCAAATATATCCATCTTAAGGTCTACAGCTCTTCAATTACATTTGTTGAGTTAAGGTGGTTTCAGTATGTAGGAATGCGTTCTCTACTTAGTTTTAATTTAAAAAAGAAAAGAAATTCTTTACCGTAATTTCTAAATCATTTGTGTTTGGTAGCATATGTTTGTATTTCGTGCTTCTATTAATTATATATGCTTTTCTTTGTTTTTTTTTTCCCCCTCTGATAAGCAATAGATATATGCAGGTACTACTGAATACCAAATTTCCTCACCGTTAGCTGCAAAAATTATATTCGTCCTCGGTCACATAGATCATTATGTCAACAATTTGGTTTCATTTTTTTTAATACTTTGACTGCATCATCTCTTTTTTTTACGATTGCTTTATTTTGAATTTTGGCACGATTTTTCTTATCATTAACTAAATTTTCCTTCAAGCTGATTTTAAATTTGGGTCATGAATGATGCAGTTGAAAACTCAGAATCTCATTGAAGATGACTACAGCCTGAACGTCCAGATTGATGCTTTGAAGGAAGAATTGGCTGAAAAAGTTGATGACATGCATGATATGGAAACCCTTAACCAGACTCTTATTCTCAGAGAGCACATGAGTAATGTTGAGCTACAGGAAGCTCGAAAAAAATTGATCAATGTAAGAACTTGAGCTTTTATGGTTTTAAAATGATGAATTAAAAACTGGGATAGCACAACTGTTTAGAATATGACTGGTTATGCTGGAATACATCTTAAAAAAAATTTGACGTGGTTCAAAATTCTTGTTTGAATGATTTTCTTGTCCTACCTATATAGGTTTTGCCAGATGTTTTGGATACAACAACAATTGGAATCAAAAGGATGGGAGAGGTTGATCAGAAACCTTTTCAAGATGTGTGCTTACAGAGGTTTTCTGATGAAGATTGGGAGGTAAAATCTATGGAGCAAAGCTCATTGTGGCAAGAAAAAGTTAAAGATTCAAGTTGGCAGCCTTTCAGACAAATGACGAAAGATGGAAAATTACAGGTATGACAGACCACCACCAGCTTTCTTTCTTTGCTCCACCCCATCAGTAACTTGATGAGTAACAAAATCTAGTGAGATTATGTATTGTATAATAAATGACACAAATATATGCATTAAGTAAAATATATATAGGAGTTACAAAATGTACAATCTAAACATGAGAGCTCAAGCTCTACATAAGGAGAGGTGTTTCTACTATTGGCTCATGGCACATGATTCTTTGCCTTGAAACTATTTGTTGTATAAAAACTCGAATAAGTACAAAAAAAATGTATGAAAACTCGAGCAAAATGGAGAAGTAGAAAATGTAGAAAATAAGGTATTTAGGCAAGGCTCGTCTAGGACGCTGCTATCTTCCAGATAGTAATTTCCCCACTTTTGATGCAGGATGACTCTTAGAATTTTTATCTTCAGGTTGAGACTTTTCTGAGGTTGCAGTGCTTTATAGTCTTGTCACCAGAACCCAACCTGGTAAAATGGAATATAAAGCTGAAGGTGTGAAAAGATCAACAAAACAAGAGATTGAGAATAGTTCTATGGAATTCTTTGATATGTATATATCTGATTGTTTCTAGCCATTTCTTGGAGGCTTATTTATAATTTTCCGGTGATCACCCTTTTAGAAAGACAATCTTTCTGTGGAGGGGCCACTTTTCCTTTCAAAAGTTTGTATTGGTTCAGAAATAACTGTGTACAACATTCAGATTTTTCCCCAGTCACTCGAGTGATGCACTCAAATGCTCTGAACCAAGAGACTCCGGTGTGCATTGCCTGAATCTGTTCAATGAATGCTCAAACGATGGTGATCGCTTGAGGGGATGATTCCATCAAGGGACCAAACACTGCACCATAGAAGAATTCCAGTAGCCATTGCCCGATATTCACTCAATAAAAGTGTTGGCTTTCTTTCAAGTGGACTTCTTTTCATTCTTTAATTATATATATGATTCATCAAAAAATATATCAAAATTTTACTAGAAGCTCCCTCTTAAGTGCCTTTCCTCTTGAGAGGAATCCATTGGAAGCTTGAAGTAAATGAGGTGTCTCCCTATTTATGGAAGAGGCTCTCATCAAATGGAACCCAATAATCCCATGTGTGATTCAAACAAATTATTTGAATCAAGTTGTTTGGTGGGAAAGGTGACATTTTGGTTTCCCTCCAAAACCGAAGTTCCTGACTATTTTATCAATTGTGTTATATTATACTATTAGTACATACTGTACAGCACTATCACATGCATGGATAGCATTGACGGGGAACTAGTTATTGGCTCAATACCATTGATTCTGACAAGGTAGATATTCAATGGAAAGAGACTCATGCCACCAGTCATGAATAAACTTCAATGGATGGAACTATAACTATATGTTTCACATATGGAGTTTCCTGAGAACCACATTTTTTTAAAATCTCCAAAGCATTTTAGAGAATGCTCCGTCCAGTGTGAGTAAAACATTACAGCTAAGTTTATTTCTGAAAGCCTACATACAAATTTTATTATACACTAGTAAGAATAAACAATAGACTCATTTAAATAATAAGATGACAGAAGTGAAGTAGTAAGCTCTTCGTGATGAAAGATACATTGGTTTCTACACAAGATCATTGAACACTAATTTTTTCCCTTTTTTGTTCTTTGTTTCTTATTCCTTTGGTTGTTGGTACTCTTTTCTCTATTTTGACATTTTTTCCATTTGTGGATTATAATTCGTCCAAAATGCAGGAAATAATTGATGAGGATGACACTAAGTTGAAAGAATTGAGACGTCTATGGGGTGAGGCGGCATACAATGCTGTGGTCAATGCGTTGCTGGAATTAAATGAATATAATCCAAGTGGGAGGTATGTAGTTAAAGAACTCTGGAACTTCAAGGAGGGAAGGAGAGCTAGTCTAAAAGAAGTAATTGAGTGCATAATCCAGCAACTGAAGACTCTCAAGCCTCTTAAACGTAGAAGGTGAGGGGGTTGAGGCCAGCATTCGGTCATGCAACGAGACTAATTCATATTTACAAGGTACACAAAATACAATAGTAGAAGAGAGGGAATTATGTTTTACTGCTTTCCACTTGGGTCACTTGCATGGTGTTGTGTGCTGTTTTCTTCATATAAATGTTTTCTTGATCCCTGAAATGCATAATGACTTAAGTAAAAAGTAAGACAATACGGATGCAAGACACATGTCATGTACTACAAGAATTAGCGCAAGTTGCAACAGCCTTGTCTTTTTTGTTTTTAAAAAATGTTTTTTGTTGGAATATTACATGCTTAGACGCGTCCATTGCTTGTAACAGTTCACTGGAGATCTGCTAGGAGCTATGACTATATAATATGTAGACATTAACACAGGCAACAATGACATTTTAATAGGTGTTGTTTGCGATGCTGCACAACGTAAGGGCTGATTATGGGACTTGTATTTCTGAGAGATCCGAAGAAACATTACCCACTCGAGCAGTGGCGGAGCCACGATTTTGGCTCAGAACCTTTGAATTAAAATCTTAACAAAAATCATAATTTAACTTAATTTTTATTTGATGATAGGACTAAATATTAGTGCGACGCAAAAGTTATATGTAAATATAAGGTCAAGTTAACTAATCATTATCTTTATTGTTATTAATTTATTTTATATATGACGATCATTACGGTTTAAAAAATTACATATACTCTCATAAAATACGAAAACAAAATTATATTAAGATGCACACACTAGATATAGTGAGGATATATAAAGAAATGAGAAAAAGATGAATAAATAATATACATAAGATATTATATATTACTTGTTTTTTTCACCGTTTTGAATAATATATATTACATGGCAATATATTATTAGTTGTCATTAATTGTGTAATAATTATGTGTTGTATAAGAGGTGATATAAAATAGTCACAAAATATCAGTGATAAATTAAACATTTTTTTAAAGTGATATTACTTGGATTAAATTAAATTTTTTAATAAAACATTTACTTTAAATTTCACTTTAAATGATTTAAAGTAAATTTTATAATTTAAATTTTTTTAATCAAACATTTATAATATAGCATAATTAAACATTTAAAGTGATAAATTAAACATTTTTTTTAATAAAAAAAAGTAAAGAAATTTGTGATATAAAAATTTCAAGATATTACTTGGATTAAATTGAAATATATATTTTTATTAGAGGCAAAAAAATAATTTTTCAAAAGTTAAGGGACACGTGACCCCTCTGGGCCTCACGTGCCTCCGCCCCTGCACTCGAGTAGGGGAATTAGTGAACTGCTTATGTTTGTGTTTCTTTTTTTTCTTTAAGGAGCTATATTCTATGTCATTTCACATCTATGGAAATGGTATCATGTTTCCTCGTCTCTCTTTTTGTGTGTGAGTGTGATTGCTTGTGCACCTCTCTCCATCTCTTTTATGTGAGAGATTTGGGTAAAATGACCTTATATATGTTGTTAGCAGCCTTCAAGAATATGAAATGCTCTTTTATGACATTGACATTGTACTGACTCAGACCCATGCTGACGTATGTTGAGTCCGACATCAAAATTCTACGTAAGGGGTCTTTAGTTTGTAAGTGGGAATAACAAACCCAATTGATGTTGTAGGCTAGCCCTTTAAATGAGTTCCCATGTAGGCTACACACACAACCATGTATATTTGAGGGCACTGAGCATGGATGTGTTCTGTTTGACCTTGATCACATGGGTTAAATCTGGGGTTTGTACCCAACTGCAGGGGCTAATTGTGGTGGCATTTGGACCCAACTGCAAGGGGTTAATTGTCGCTTTTGGACCCCTAAAACAGATGCTATAGAGTAAAGAGAGGGAGGGAATGTAATGACCCCAATCAACTCTGGCGTGTGCCACGCCCCACTTAACCTAATTTTCAAACATTGGCAAACTCCTCTTGGGGAAGACCCAAGTCATTACTCATATGCGTACAAAATGCGTATTGGACTGTGACTCTTATTAAGAATGATCAATTGGGCTTAATGGCTTATATTAGAATTTATTTACTATGGATATGGACCCTTATCCAAAGGTGGAAAATGACATTTGATGAAACATTATTATAAGGTTCTATAATAGTCTTTGAGGACCGGCTATCTCATCGGCTACTCTTCTTTGGTAATTTTAAGCTGCAAACTAGTTAGTTGTATTATTTTTAGCCACTATCATCGTGCATTACTAACATATCATACATTTTTAAGGCTAATAGGTCATGAAAGTTATAGCTTGTGTTTCTTTTCTCCTCTCTTGGTAGTTTGAACTTGGACATTATTTTTTCCCGTATTTCCAGAATGAGTGTCTCAACAGAGTTGGATCCAAGTGCTCAGATCTGGTATTTGGATTGTGCATTTCAAAGAAAAGCTCCCTTGAATGTTGATATCATGAAAATGAGAATCTTCTTGGCGGTTGAGAGGAATATCAAGTGAAACATCTATTATATGGAGGGATATATGGAAGCGCTCTCAAATAATGAAGAAAATGGCGCAAGGAAGATTTAGAGAGAATTTTGTTTGCTAAACCAAAACCATTGAAATACAACTGGATCCAGTGTGAAGGTTGACTGATGAAATGTGTGTGTATATATATATATGTATATTTTCCGTGGTAAATTATCTTGAATTGTGGCTGCTCAGCATGCTATCATAATGTCATCAAGACGTTCATCTGCCAACATGCTAGGTCTTAAAATGACAAGCACATTATGGGTTTTCAGTTCCGTTGTTTAAGTTGGAGTTTGATCCATGTTTAGAATGAATTGTTGACTTGTTTCTGCAACTGGGGCTGAGAGGATGTGGAAACTCAACAACGAACCACTCTGAAACTAGTGAGAACAGTTGTAGAAGTATGTGAGGCAGCTCTTGAGCTCTGTAAGAAGAAAAACATCACTCTTCTTGTAAGTTGTATGATCATCACATAAAATTTAGGTTGGTTTTGTCTTGCTCCATTAAAATGGATTATGGATGTTGATCCTCTCCGGGGTTATGCAGGTTTGAGGTTTGCCGCAAGTCCACTGCTGACAATTGACGTGTTTCTGATTCGGAATTTGGGGGCATGGTTGCCCAACTTGTTTATTTGGAATTAAAATGACAAAATTTGGGGATTCATTTTAATTGTTGTAGGTACATTGATCAATACTTATGATTGTGCTTTTGCTTTCAAACTTTTGAAAATTGTGTTTTTTTATTTGTGTTTTTTGGTTGCTCAATTAACTCGTTGAGTTAAATTCATGTCATGCTCAATAAAACTAACAGGTTTTAAATTTTAGAAGAATTATATTGAATTAGACAATTATAATTTGACAATGCATAGTTTAACAAACAATGAATGCTAACAACGACAACATAAAAGAGTTGATATTGGAGAAAATAAATTCAATACAAGAAATAATCAGGTAAGAAGTAATTATTCTTTGCTTTTGATAAAAACTGTTTTTTTATTTTTCGAGTTAAAAGTGTACGTGAATAATTAACGAAGCCCAGTTGGATAACTTCATTTTAAATTATTTTTTAAAATTAAAAATTCATTTGATCATTTTTTTCACATAAAATAATTTTATAAATTTTAATTATTCATTTTGAGTACTAAAAATTTCATTGAAAACATTAAAATTACAAATTCTTATGGTTAGTGGTTCTTTCATGGTGCTCTTTTGGAAAGTTGGTAAAAAATTAGCTTCTAATTTTTTACTCATTTTGGGTCACATTACCTCTCATATAACACAAAAAGATAAAATAAGCTAAAAAAGTTAAAAAGTTAACTTTTAATCAACTTCTCAAAATATCTCAAAATATTTTTAAAAAAAGTAAGTTAAAAATAAAACATGACGTGTTTTATTATTATTATTATTTTGTTTTTAAAAATATGAATGAAAAGTTTAAAAACACATGTCTTTTTTATATTTGTGAAATTATCTTTTAAAAATTAAAAATTTTAAAAAATGGTTTATTTTCTAAAAATATTCATCAAATAAAATAAAGTTGACGGATTTTACAGTTTTTTTTTTTAAAACAAATTTGAAAATACAAAGAAATAGCTGTATTTACCATTTTGGCCTTGTTTGGGTAGAGAGTTGCATTAAAATAAAATAAATTAAAATAGTCAATAAATCACTTTTTCTCTCAATATTATCAAATTAACTATATAAAAAAAAATTAATTAACTTTTCAAATATAATTTTTTTAACGAAAATAAAATAATTAAAAAAATTAAATAGTCAAATTAACTTCCCAAACAAGCCCCTATCTTAAAACCGTCCGCGCCGAGTGCTAGGGTTTACAACTATAAATAGAGTTGCCCGTCTCTATTGATTAGCAAGCGAGACGCCTCACTGCCGGTAGATCGGTTCGAGAGGCTTGAGAAAGCTTTGGTATGCTTGTCTTTTTTTCTTGTTCTCTGCATGTCTATAAATCTCTCAATTTGTATAGGGATGGCAATTTAAATCCGGCCCAATGGAGACCCGACCCCCCGATCCCGATTGGAATGGATTTTTCCTGAAAATTATCTCCATAAGACCAAAAATGGTATTAAAAATCAAATCCCCGATGATTTTCGGGCCGGGGACGAAAATAAATTCTCCAAACCCGGCCCCGTCCCCGCCCCGACTAATCCCCGACACTAATCCCCGTATATATATGACTAATCACCGTATATATATATATATATATATTATATGTTTAGGTTATTTTGTGTCTCTCCCTCTCTCTCTCTGAGCCTCTCCGTCTCTCTCTCTGCTTTCCTTCTCTGAAACAGAGACCTTGTCTTTCTTTCCAAGCTGAGATCTTCACCAGATCTATAGAGTCCCTTCTCCCCCGCCGTGAGAGCTCTTTCCCCAACACAGCGCCGTCGACGGTCCAAACGAACCAGACCCTCCGACGACGACGAGCGCCGCTGCGCCACCTCCTCTTCCTCCTCCGACGAGATCGATCGAGCATGGTGCAGATTTGCTCAAGATCTTGGCCGCTGCATGATCGATCGATTACCACCAGATCTAGTTTCTCTCTCTCTCTCTCTCTCCCTCCCTTCTCCGTCGTCCTCTCAGATCTGTGTCTTTTTCTATCAATTTTTTTTTTTTGATGTTAATAATTTGTTGTTGATGTTGATGATATTGATGATTTTGTGCCTCTCAGATCTCAGATCTGTGTTGTTGTTGTTAATGTTGTTATTCATGTTGTTGAAACAAATTTAGGCCGGGTAATTTTCGGGGTCGGGGAAACCCGATCCCCGATCGGGGGTGGGGATGGGGAGAGTAATAGGTTCCCCGTCGGGGATCGGGGCCGGGGATGGGGCAATGTTCACCATCGGGGATCGGGGACGGGGAGGGTGATCCCCGGCCCCGCCCCGCCCCGTTGCCATTCCTATTTGTATCCAGTAATGGCTATGATTACAAAGAGAGAGGCTTGAGTGGGTTTTCTTCTCTTAAATGAGATCCGATTCGATGTATGGCGAGAGAGAAAGTCATGATGTTGAAGATCGAGTGACTAAGGTGCCGCCTTAGGGCTTTTGGCGTCTGAAATCACAAAAATCACTCTTGATTTTCTCTCTCTTCATCTACGATTTGGGGTTTCTCCCACAATGACAGACTTCCAAAATTTACACTTGATATGAGCCCTAAATTGGCAATACAAAAGAATTTGTGTTTGTGTTTGTGTTTTGCATTTGTTGGGTTAATTATGAAGAGAGAAAGGACTTTTTTGTTCTTGTGTTCTCTATCTGTAACAACAGTGCATATATTGAAAGTCTGATTTTACTTTGAATTTACGCCAAACAAAGTTGATTTAAGACTCTGTTTGGTGGTATTTTTTTAGGGAAATCAGACAGCGGCCAGACAACCGTAGAGATGGATTCCACAGATGACTGAATTTTCAATTTTGGTTGTCTACTGATTCCATTCTCACATTTTAATTTTTTTTTTTTAAAAAAAAAATGTTATACAAATTAATAAAATTTATAAATTCAAGTTTAGAATATAACGTTGTGGATACTGAAATTTTATAAAATTAGTTAAATCTTTTATTATATGATTGTTTTGGTTACAAGGATTTTTTTTTTTTACTTTGCTTGCTGAATTCTTGTTTGGAAAGTGTTGCTAGGCTTGAAAGTTGCATAGCTTAGGATTTGTTTGGAAATTGAATTTTTTTTTAAAGTTTATTTTTTGGTTATTTACAACGGAGATGAACGGAAATCAAAGTAGTGAACGGATGCGATACGGATAGATGGAACTGTTAGGAAAATAGGTAGACCTGGATTGCCCTAAATGTATTTTGAGAAGGAGGTTAAAGTTAATTTTTTTATTTTTTGAAAAAATATGTAAAACAATACCTTAAAAAAATAGGGATGAGATTTGAAAAATTAAAAATTTAAGAAGTTGGTTTTTAGTTGAGTTTTCAAAATAGGCCGTAGAGATATAAATCATTTCGTTAGGCTTATTTTGGGAGCTTGATTAAAAATTAATTTTTTTTATAGGTTTTTTTGGGTCATAGTATTTCTTTATTGTTTCACTTTTTTTTTAAAAAAAGTTAAAAAGTTGGTTTTTAACTTATTTTTCAAAAACAAATTTTAATTTGACCAATTAAATAATTGTTGATAGTGTTGAGTGGAGAAAAATAATTAATATAATCGATTTTATTTGATATGCTTTAAAGTTTCGTTTTGTTTGGTCTAGTTTTTTGGTCTAAAATTTCTTGTTTTTTGAATAAATATTTTTAATAATTTTTTAGTTAAAATATGATTAAAAAAATTAATATATTTCGGATATTTTTTAATTTTTTATGAAAAGATGTGTAAAAATAAATAAAAAAGAAAATTTTTAATTTTTTGATATAAATTATTAATTTTTTGATTTTTTTGAATGATTTTTTAAGTTAAAAAGTGATATTGTCAAACAAAAAAGAAAAAGAGTGCCTTAAGTTAAAGGTCTGATGTGCTAAAAATAATGGAAAATGCGTTGAACTTCCAGTGGGAGTGTTGGGGTCCTTGTTCATAGGCTGATTTTTTTTATTTTTTTATTTTTGACTTCAGCCACTGTTAGTGTGCCATGTGACACTGGGGTGTCCAGTCACTTACTGGGGTCCGTAATATCACCAAAAAACAATTTAGCAAATATTTTCTTACTTAGATTAAGTGTAAAAGTCTTTAAGTTAGGTTATTTTTATCAAGTGTAATGGAAAAAAATTGGGATTTTTTTTTTCTTGACTCCTATCATTCTCAATGTATTAAGATTAGCTGGCACAGCTGGCACAAAATATCTGTCAAAAGTAGATGAACAGTGATCGGCCAGTCAAAAATGTCAAATCAACCAAAACAATGGTCGGCCGGCCAAAAAGATTGCCGGCCGGCCATCACCAATGGCCGGTAGCAACAAAACATGGCCGGTGGCCTCAAGCCATGGCCGGTCACCTTCAAAGTCCCGTCTTCGATGCCAAGCATCTCAAACGTCTTCGTCATCTATTCCAGCCACGGTCAATTTTTTATTTTTTATTTTTTTTTTCTTCTTCTTCTTTCTATTATTTATTGACATGTGTTTGTGGGGTCGTAGGGGCTCTTTTTTATTCTACAGGCGCATGTTTGTGTGTGATAAGAGGAAAAAAAAAACTGACATGTGTCTGGGAGGTTGTAGAGACTCCCTTTTTTATTCTACAGGCACATGTTTGTGTGTGATAAGAGGAAAAAAAAAAATTAAAAAGTAAAAAGTTATCAATTCTAATACATTAAGAATGGTGGCGGTCAAAGAAAAAAATAGGGTCTCAATCTTTTTCTGTGTGATATTACTAATTTGTTTTAAATGACGTTTTATTATTTTAATTTTTTAAGGTATGTTTATAAAATGCAATAAATAATAGGGTAAATTATAAATATATTTTTGAGTTTTGTTTAAAATACAGATTGTCTGTGGTTTGAATTATAAATATCTTTTTATTAGAATATTTTATTTAATATAATTAATTAAAAAAATAAAATTCATAATTGTTTTTTATATAATAATAAAATTATTTAAATTATTAATTGAAACATATTTTTAATATCATTAAAAATTATTAATTGACTTGATTTATTAATAATAAAGATGATTTTTTTTGAAATGAGAAATCTTAAGGAGTGGAATGTAATTTTCAAAATTATAGAAGTGATTTGTATTTTTAATCAAATTTCAGGTATGTATTTGTAATTTACTCTAACTAATAATAAGTATTATTGTTTAACATTTAAAGTAATAAATTATGTTATTTAAGATAAATTAATGATATTGTGAATAATAATAATATTTTAACTTATTTTTTATTTAATTTTATTGAAAACAATTCATCTATATATTTTTTGACACATTAAACATGTAACCATGTACCCCAAATATGTATTAAAAAAACACTTGCTTTTGGTTCAACTCTAGTTGGGGAGAAAAAAAAAGTTATGCGTAGAATTAACAGAAAACTAGTGATAAATTTAATTTAGAGTGTCTAAGTATTAGATCCAAGAAATATTTTTTATGAATAATGCTATATGTACTTGACATCGGTGGGTCCACAGAAGTTTTTGGTCCACCACTTAGAGTCCAATTAACGATTCAAGCACTAAAATCCAACACTATTGGAAACCCAACGTTACACCACTTAGAGTCCAATTAACGATTCAAGCACTAAAATCCAACACTATTGGAAACCTAACGTTACACCAGGAATCAATGACATTTAAACACTTGTCAAGAGGAGAGTTATTGTACTACACATTAGTCATTAATGAGGCTCCTGCAGCATTAAATGCGATAACTCCTTCACGTTAGAATGAACAGCCTCACCATGAACAAGGCAAACTAGAGCATAGACTTTCGGTCAACATAATAGGTCGGAGTGGACAAAGAAATGATGAACAAAGAATATAATGAGACTTTTAAGACACAAAATGTTAAGTTCTGTATTCTTATTCTCTCACTACACATCATCGATTTCTCTCTTCTAACTTGGTCGTCAGAGGGTCCGTTGGGGAACTCCCGTTTCCCGTTGAACACTTTTGTAGGTACTTTAGTGAGCTTAGTGACTGGGGAACGGTGTAGGAAGCGTGGGTCAGCCCAACTCAACCTTCAGGGATCAACAATATCATCAGTTGATGCCGTCTGTGGGAACTTCACTCCAGGTAACAGTTGTAGTCATTGTTGTCGGAGACCCGTTCTCGATAATTCCTCCTCATTGGCCATCAAGTTGGATGGTCACAACGAGATCCATAGCTTCTTAACACAACGTTGTCGATTCCCAAGTCGACCCTCCAAACCCAAACAACCCACTTCAGTACTTCACAAAACTCACCAGCAGCATTAATCGCTTGGCCGAGCAAAACCAGGCCTTGATCAATGCCTTGCTCCAGCGAAACCCCCCCTACCTCATTCACCACCACATGATATCCTTCCCAATCGAGAACGAACCTCGAGCCATCCTTTCTAACAAACCCACCTCTCCAACTTAGAGAGTCTGCAAGCCCTATCTCAAGACATGAACACGCTACCTCGGGGTTTACATCCATCAGTTCAAGCACCTGCTCTTGAAGGAGAGGCTAGTAGTGTTCAACCTCCATTGCACTCTGGAGGTGATAATGTTCCTATCTGGGATGCGAAACTCCGAGCCATGAAACTCCAGCTTCAAGGAGTCATGCAGAATATACAAAATAAACCCTCCATAACAGCCAACTCCCCGTTTGTTGCCTCTATCAGGGACAAACCCCTACCCCCAAGTTCAAAATGCCTTCGATCGACTCATTCGACGGCACAACGGATTCGGTTGATCATTTTGAGACTTACAGGACCCTCATGATCCTCCATGCTTTTCTTGATGAGATCATGTGTCGGGCTTTCCCGTGACGCTTAAAGGGTCAGCTCGACTATGGTTTAGTTAGCTGCCACTGGATTCTGTCTCTGCTTTCCAACACCTAAGTGAGTCCTTCTTGAGCCATTTCATTGGTGCTCAGCGCCAGGGGCGTCCGGCAACTCAACTGCTTAATATCCGTCAGACGGAAGGGGAGCCACTATGTTGTTTTGTCACCCGTTTCAACATCGAGGCCCTACAAGTGGCGGAAAACGACGACAAGGTCATCCTCACAGCCTTCATGGCCGGTTTATGACCATCCGATTTCCTTTTCTCCCTTTCTAAAAACCTTCCAACCACTATGACCACCTTCCTCTCCAAGCCCAAAAATATATGAACGCCGAAGAATCTTTGGCAGCCCGCCAAGATATTACAACTAAAAGTCCAACCCCTAGGGAGAAAAGAAAGGAATTCGAAACCAGACCCGCCCAATATACACAACAAACCCCTCAGTACACCAACTGACTCACTCGAGCTGACCGACTAGCACCTACCCGACCGCCTGGTTGGTTTGAGCGATACACCCTCCTCAATTCCCTCATGAAACAAGTCTTAAACTAGATCCAACGAGATTACAACTTGAAATGACCCTAACCATCACGGTCTCCCTTCAACCGGCGAGATCAATCCAAGTATTGCCGTTTCCATCAAGACCACGGCCACAACACTGAGGAATGTGTTAACCTTAAAGACTAGGTAGAGGATTTGATACGCCAAGGGCGCCTTAGTCGGTTCACGGCTGCTCGTCCCTGACAGCGACCAAGGATCAACCCGTTGGGGGACCACCACCGACATACCCCCCCGAGAACTAGCATAACCCAAGCGAGACAACGATCGGCCCCCACCACAACCCCAAGCAAAAGGCAATCTTGCCTCCCCGATCGGAAAGATCAGAGTCATCACTGGCAGGTTTGCATGTGGAAGTCCATCTCGTTCGGCCCAGTGAGCCGAACTCAGAAAAATCAGACAGGGCTCCGATAAAGAAGTCGCGACATTGGATTGCCCCTTCAAACACCCTAAGCAGTGGATTGAACCCATCACCTTTACGGA